CCCCTCCCTCGGGGGTCCCAGCCTCAGTGGCACGCCGGGCCACTCACCTTGCGCCTTTGGACTTTAGACCTAGCGTTTCAGAGCTGGAAAATACCTCAGGCCATCTAGTGCAAACCCTCTTTTACAGATAAGGGGGCTGAGGCCCCAGGGGGACGTCTCAGTAAGGCCCTCAGCTTCCAACACCATGCATGTCTAGAACCCGGCCTCCCCATTCCATGGCGATTCCCAGGCCACTTGTTCCAGTGATTCCTGAATTCTGCCCCTTCTCAAAATACCCTGAGTGGCTTTAAAAAATTCGGATTCTTAGGCTGAGGCCCAGAAATGCAGGTGTTTTAAAAACTGCTCTTGGAATTCTAATAGAGTCCTGTCTGGAACAATTATGGCATATGTTAGCTGTTTGAGGTCCATCCCTGTTTGCCAAGTTGTAAGCAGTTCAGGGCAGGGAGGTCAAACTACCATCTGGGCGGGCAGTGCTCCCATGGGGGCCCGTGCACCCAGGAGGTATTTGATTGGTGTTTGTGGAATGAGTGAGCCCCAAAGGTGTGCAAGGTGTCACTAGCTGACTTGGGCTGGGAGTACTAGAATAGATGGTCGTTTTGAGCTGAGCTAACCCATAATAAGAACAGCAAAGAGAATTTTTTAAAGAGTAGATTATTAAGCAGACAGGATAAAGACAGTATTACAATTAGGTTTTCATTAACTTCCTTAACTAAAGCAAAGATAGGTTTATGTGTTAATCCTGATGTTAAATAACATCCATTATGTAGTCAAGACGTCTGGTGCAAATAAATACCTATGAAACAATAGTCATTATTCATGAAAAAAACATGTATATTTTGCTTAAATTTAAGAAGTTTCATGGGCCAGTTTTGTTTTTGTTTTAGAAATAAAACCGTGTTCATTCCTATTTCTGTTCTGAGGCACCTGTCTCTTTTAAAATGTAGACCAGTAGCATATACTGATAATCTAGTAATAGATCAGAAACTTACCAGTCCTACCGAAATGAAAACACAGTGCTCCTGCTAAGCCAGGCTACCTGGGGCAGAAAAGAAGAAAGGTTTTTCTGCTAATATGGGCAGTGTGGAAAATATACACACTCATTAGAACCTCATTCTCCTTGAGGGTTTCAGGCATCTTCAGTACCAAGTTTTCTTGATTTGTGTTGAAGACAAGTCATCTTATTAAAAAATTCTGACATAGTATATCGCTATTGAAAACCTCATTACTTTTAATCCTTAGAGTTTAAAAATCTGTTGCTAACTTAACTCCCATATCTGAGCTTATTTAATGAATTCTCATAAATAGTGTGGTGTGATTACTTCCTGTCCTTTTCCTTATGTATTCTAACATTTTAGAACTCATTCGTGGCTTTGTGCCTTAGCCTCACATGAAGCCACATGTGCAGGGGGCACATGAATTATTAAATTATCTACACCATCAGCCACATGGTTTCTTTGTGTGTTTGGGGTGCAGTGGAAGAGGAGATAACATAAGCAAAATTAAATGTTAATCACCATCACCACCCCCAAACAAAAGCAGAATGTTTAAAAGGTTTTTGGTATTTTGGTAAGCCTGAGATAAACACTGTCTTCAGGGGGTAGATTTTAGATGACCGACTGCATGCTCTGTATACTCACCTGTCCCACACGTTGCTATGAGATTTTGCCGCCTTCAGCAAACGCTGCCTTTGAGAAAAAGTGGGTGATCTGGGAGAATTACCAAAACAATAAAAACTGTAAACCATGCACTCTTTTCTCCAGTCTTTGCATGTGGTTGCGTGTGTGTGGTGGTGTGTTTTTGGCCTGTGGACCTCTGGTTTTCTGTGGGACCTCCCTCACATTAGTCATGGAGCACCATACAATCCCACGTTTTTCTCTGGCACCATTGAATGCACAGGCACCAACTCCCACCTAGGTATGCCAAGTTCACGGAAAACAGTGGCTTGCCATGGAAACTTAACACGAAGATAATGAAAAGGAGAGCTGGGGTTGAGATATGTTTCCTGAATTGCTACAGTCCTTTATTTTAAAGCCTCTGGATAAATTGACAGTATATATACACAAATGGTCCCCTCACCTGAGTAAATACTTCCTTTTAAACTTTGATAAAAGGTTATATTTCACATCATTCAAGATCTATAAAACTGAAAATAACTTTAATCGGCTTTCTAAATATGGAACTGTTTCACATGCTCTTGATTAAGGCAGTACCATGCTGTGGTCCTTAATCTGGGTAGGAGCCTGCCTTTTTCCTCAGAGAGCATTTGAAAATGTGTGTATTGGGCATACTTTTAGATTCCCCCAATGACTGGTGGCACCATGATTGATAGGTGGGCTCAAGATAGGTGAACATTCTCGAATACTTGAGATAGTCTTGGAGAATGAATTCTGCACCCCAAGATTTGTCTTGGAGAATGAATTCTGTGCCTAGAATGCCAGTAGTACCCTTGGTGAGAAACATTAGGTGGGTAATGACTAGTCAGGTAATTACACACCCATTACGCAGAGCAGCTTGGCTACCATCATTAACACAGAGCTCATTTGTATATGGTTTAGATTCTCCCATCCAACGTCCATGTCAAGATTGAAGAGCATGCACTGTTTATGAATATACACATGCTGATTAAATTTAACTTCGTGATTCGGTGGGCAGGGTGGGGGGCAGTGGTGAAAATAAGAAAAACTCTGGTGCATCCCCACGTCAGAACTGGGAATTACTCCTTTTGGCAGGGCTGATGGACCGAACACTGGAGGGAGAACCTATGTGCATCCTCTTACTCGTTCTAGTTTAAACTGCAGCGACAGGAAAACGTATCCCGATCTTAGCCTTGCCGTCTTCGTTTGAAGTTAGACATTAGACTCCACGAGCACCCATGGGTGTTAGAACACAGGAAAGAATTCTGCGCAAAGACTGAAACAACTAAATCTTGGCAAAATGGCTTGTGTTGGAGCTGCTGATGCTCAAGATTAGGTCCTTTTGATGGGAGTAGTAGTGCGTAGAGGTCATGCAGACCATCTCAATGTGCTTGACTTTTAAAAAGTTGGCTTCTGTGTGCTACTCACTTGTCACATCCGTCCTCAATAAAACTCTATTCATTTTACTGATTATTTGCTTCTCAGAGTTGCAGCACCTTTGAGTCAGGTACAAACCTGATTCAGAACTTTAACATCATTTTTCTAAATTCCTGTTAATCAGCAAAATGGTTACTGTCACCTTTTTATATTAATTATTAGCTTTGGTTTCAAAAAGTGACACTTTCTTGCTGTCCTTAAATTGAGGTGATTGAGATTTAGAACTTGATTCTGAAATGTCCTATGCATGGACTCAGGGTTTCTTTATATTTGTCTTAACCAAGGTAGTGGCATTTAGTACAAATTAGCTTGTTCAGTTTCTGAATGGATAAAGAAAAGCATATCTAAGGCCCTGTATTTGTGATCCCTGCCCCTTTAGTTTTCAATGTGATACGTCATTGTGGGCTTATGAGTGTGTAATTTGGAGTTGCATCTATTACTGGAATGTCCAACTTTGGGGCTGCTTTTCCCACCTCTGATATATGTGCTTGGAACCATAATTGAGATACTTGCTTTATTTTATAAAAACAGCCTTTTTTATTTCATTACAGAGCCTTCTCTCTTTTTTTTCACTTGCTGCCTTGATTTAAATTTTCAAGGCCAATTTGTAAATTTTTTAATTGTTGCCAGCAGGAAAGAAAGAAACTTAGGCTTATATTTTAATATAATTGAAGAATTTAAAATATGTCTAATCTTACTTCTTGGTAAACTTCAGTTCTTTAATTTGTAGGCTTGAGATTAGAAGGGAATCTCAGAGAACTATTCAGATATACTGGATCTATATCAGAGTATCTCTCAATTATCACAGCCTTGAGGGTTAGGGGGAAAAATGACTCCTAAAGACTAATTTTGTTCCTCAAGTAAAAACTAACATGTGGTAAGTGCTGAATGTGTATCATGTCCTGGCCAGATGAATACTTCGACCTCTGTCAGCTAAATATTAGTTAACCTGTGTCCTCGTTATATTTACATCTGTATTAGAATTGAGGATATATGTCTATCCAGCTATCTATATTTTCACTTGAAAAATGGTGAGAAGCAAGCATTTCTTAATATCAAGCATTTCAGTTGCTGCATGGCTATAGTATTTTCCTTTGGGATAGGGATACAGAAGTGAATTTGTGTTTTTCATATGCTAGTAAATCTGGGTTTTTCTCAAGTGATAAATTGAAAGCTACTCTGACATAATTTTTTCCTGGCAGACAACTCTATGGCAACGTTACCCTCCCATTGCCACCACCTCAACACCTTGTGATCTAACCAATCCAATGATACCTTCATTTTCACATTTTACTTTCATCTTTTGTCTAGGTCCCACATTGATAGGGTATGTGCCATTTTGCTTGTCCTGTTTTAAATTTTTGAAACAATTTTCTGTGTTTCTACTGTCTTCATATTATCATATATGATTACTACATAACATTCTATCCTCTTTGGTGTGTCTTAATCACTTGGCCACTTCTCTGTTCACTGTTTTGTATTGAAATAGTGCTGTAGATGGTTTTCAACATTGCAGGAAACATCGTGGTGTACAGGGCCTTCTCCCTCTTCCCTTCACTTGCTTCCGTGGTTTGAATTCCCAAGGAGGTGCGCCATCCCACCAGGGGCCCCTATGGCTGTTGCAAGGGTCAGTACAAGATGATGTATGGGAAAATATGTTGATGTTGTAGAAAAACAGCTCAGGCCTCAGTGTTGCTTTATTAAAGCAAAGAGGGCACACATGCTGCTCCTCATCAGCTGTCTGAACATCAGCCTCAGTGTGTGCAAGGGTGCTCTGTGAGGGTGCTCTGTGACTAGCTTGAGAGTGGACGCAGGAGAGGAACATGTGCTCACTGTGTTGCTGAGTAGCTTTGAGTTTATGTGGAAGGCCCAGGAGATGATTAAGAGACAAGAACCCTTAAGTGTAATTTGTCTTGTTTTGTTTTCTAGATCAATGTCCGAGTCACCACCATGGATGCGGAGCTGGAGTTCGCCATCCAGCCAAATACGACAGGAAAACAGCTCTTCGATCAGGTCGGTCCCTGTGAACTTGATAGAAAGTCCCCTTAGAAAAGCTTTCTTTGCCAATCTGAATCATTTCATTTGCCAAGCATATTACCTTGGTTTGCCGCATGCTTCTCTTTGCAGAGACCGTTCTTCCCTCTAGCCAGGGGTTTATACCATGGTAAGCGCTCTGCAGGAACAGGCCCCTGAGAGGAAATAGGGGGTGCTGTGAGGTCTTCTTCAGCACAGTGCCTTATCCGAAAGCTCTGGCTGCTATCTGTCCCCAACTCCTGGGTCGTCACACTCCCCCTGGCTGGCTTTTGCCATGTGGTCGGTGGGCCAGGGTGCCAGGGAGCTCGGACTCTGCCTGAGGGCCAACTGGCACCGAGCAGCCCACAGGTCCCAGGGCCAGCCTCCCTGGGCTTCCTGCAGCCACAGCGTCGGCGAGCTCGCTTGGGTGTCGTCACACATTCTTCCCCGGAGCTGCACAATGCAGCACATCCCCGGACCCATGTGCTTCTCCCGAGACATGAAGGTGCACAGGGAGTTTCAGCAAGAACAGTCAGCCACGTGAAGGCTGTGATGACTCCTCATGGAACATGAAAGTAAAAAGGAAAAAGCTCCTTTTCTGGGCTAGTACATACTGTTCTGGGGCTGAGGATCCGTAGAGCAAAGGATGGGTGAGACTTTACAAGTCCCTTGAACCATAGCCTGCTTTCCTGAGAGGGCCACTAGTAGAAGTGATGTTCTGCACCCTAACACCAAACCCAGAAATTGGGGTGGGTGCTGGTTGAAAACCTAGGAGGTAGAATCATAGCAAACTTGAAGCTAGAGGTGACTCCCTACATGCGTGATCACATCTCCCTGTTAGCCGCCAAAGCGAGCACCCAGTGGGTGAATCCCGGGCACTGGGCCTGCCCTGCACACTGCCTGCCAGCCCGCCCAGAGAGCAGTGCCCGCCGCCAGGGCCTGTGCGATGCCCCCAGGGGGGTGCAGGGCTCTCCCTGTGCAGCACTCTGAGGCCACACCCCATTCTGCCTCACACGATTAGGACAAAGACATTCACTGTTCTGGGTGAGGCTAGACATGCTGTGAAAATCTAAAGGTTTCTCTGGAAGGTGATCTTGAAGTAAGTTGAATGGAGCCAGCAGAGTGCCGTGTGCACAGTAGGTAGAGCGCGGATGGGTGGGAGGCCAGGTGCTCTGCCTGCAGCCTGCATGTCCCTCAGTCACACCCGAGTCCTTGGCTGTAGATGAGCGGTGGGCTGTCTAAAGCAGCACCGACCTGGGAAACTAGTCCAGAGGTTTTGATGGATCAAACATTTAGCTCCCCTTGCCTCTTTTTCCCATATTCCTTCACACAGAGATTGTGGGAAGAGGCTAATAAAAAAGTCTGTAGTCCTTACGCTACAGAATACAAATGCTAGTACTTCTTACAGGAACCTGTGTCTCCTCCTTGGGAGCCCTTTGGAAGGCGGGGTGTGGAGAGGGTGAGAGGCTGGCCTCGTGCCGTGGATATGGCACTCATGTGGCTCAGCTTCTTTGCTCTCGCGTGCGGGGCATTGAGCCGAATAGTCCCAAGACTGTCTCAGCCTCTGGATCCAGGGTATCGTGTTGACGAAACTCCATGTGTTCCTAAATGCGAATAATTGTATCTAGTTTGGTGTTGCTTTCAAGCCAGGTAGGTTTCTAGTATTAGATTGTCTGCCTCCTGGTAGCGTGGAGCTATGGGTTAACGGTTGTACAAAAATGGTCCCTGAACTCAGTCAATAAATGTGGGTTATTTAAAAAATGCTGAGCACATAAGTCTAATCAACATGCCAAGTATTGACAAGCTCTGCATCCAAATTATTCCAAAACTGCTTAGTCTCCCAACAGCCAACCCATTGGAGCACTTTATTACTGGTCCCCACCCCAGAGAAGAGTCCCCTTAGTCAGTACGCTAAAGAGAAAAGCAAGGCTGCGTCTCACCTTAGCCAGCTTTCTCAAGTCTTCTTCCCTGACTAAACCTCAGCCAATCTCCAAGACCCTGAAATGAGATCCCAGTACCAGTCAGTTCAGATAAACACAAGTAAGCAAGCGTAGACACAGCACCCGCCCCGCCAGGGATGGGACCTGGATCACAACGCCCTGATTGAGCTAACACGCAACTTCTCTTCAGTTCTGTGTATCCCTCATGAAAAATACCACGTGATCTGAAGTCGAGGTTGAAGCAGACATAGAAGATGACTGAGTCTTTATGAGTGAGGAAATCAAGGCTCAGAGAGAAAGCGGAGGTTGCACGGCTGGCTGGCGACAAAGCAGAGGCTGAGCCGCCGTGTCTTCCCCATAATCACACTTGGCCTTTGGAGATCCATTCGCTGACCATTCCAAGGAGGCCATGACACGGAGAAGGGGACTTTCTTCTGTGCAGGGGACGGGGCCTTGGCGGATGCCCTGGCACACATCTGGGCTCCTCCTGCACCGGCCACACTGGGCAGGTTTTCTCCTTAACAGACCCCGAAGGGCCTGCGGGCTGTGCAGGACTCCGCACCCTCTCTTTGTCGGGCCATCTGGTGCCCTTCTAGGGCTGGCAAGCTCCTTCCTGGCCAGCCCGCCAGTCAGGCTGGTGCCGCAGTGGAGGAGGCTGATAGAGGCTTAGCGGGCGGGTTCATATGCTCCTCTCTGCCCACCTGCACCTACATCCCCTCCACAGTAACCGGCCTGCAGTCCCTGACTAGCTTCTGGGCCAGGGCTCTGACTCGGTGGAGGGCACCACAGGGTGAGGCCATCTCCCCATAAGCCCAGGGGCCTTTTCTGCTCCAGAAAGCCCAAGGTGGGAGGAAAGGCCTTCCTGCAGCACAGCTGTGGGCCTGTGGCTTCCATCAGCAACACCCGTTTTCTAACTGTTCCCCAACTTTCAGTAGACACTTCCCTGCCTTGTCCTTCCCCCAAAGCTGCCATTTAGAACACCGCTGAGGCAGAGACAAAAAGATGGAGCCCGCTGCATTCGGGTTCTACTCCAGGCTGTGCGTCCACGATGAGGCTAAGGGCGCTGGAGGGAATGGTGAGGGGTGTTTTTCTAGGCATGTTGGATTTACCCCTAGGGAGGACTCAAGGGTAGGTTTAGAATGGATGGAGAAAGGAAAGTTGTTTAATTCTACTGAGTTGTTTTGGGGAAGCCATCAGGAGAAAAGTAGGGCTTTGAGGCAGGCGGAGAACGTTGCCCTGGGAAAAGAGGAAGGCCATAGAGGCGTGGCCCATCAGGGCAGCAGGCTCCGGGGGAGGGAGGGTCCCGGGGTACGTCCACGCACGGTTCTGTAGTCTGTGATCTGTCTGTGGAGGAGCTGCCACGCCACTGCAGATGGAGAAGAGGAGGAGTCTGAGCTGCGAGGCCCCACAGGGACGTGGAGAGAAGTCAGGAAAACAGGAAGTCATTCCAAACTGGTTAAGGCCCAGGCTACAGCTGCGGGACAGGAAGTCATTCCGAACTGGTTAAGGACCAGGCTACCGCTGCGGGTGGGTGAAGTGGAAAGACGAGATTGGAGAGGCAGTAACCGCTTATGCATGTGGGACTTTTTTGTGCAACTTTGAAGCAACCCAAAGAGGAAGGAAGGCAGGTTTTATATCCAAATGTTAAAATGGAGGTTTGTGAGGATTAAGAAATTGGCAGGGTTGGGTATAGAGAACTGCCTTCAGATCTGCTGTCTCTACACTCAGCAACCATAAAAACAAGGCATAGGGTTTCATGGACGATGTGGGAGCAGAGCAGTGCGTACAAGTCCAGATGTCTTCCTCCCACCCCATGATGGAGCGTCTGAGGTCCAGTTCCTCCCCGTTGGTGGGTGAGAGGAGGGAGCTGATGAGCAGTCCAGTTCCTGGCATGTAATAAACAGAGACTCCTGGAGCTGTAGTGAGCATCTGAGCCCCAGTGGGTGAGGCAGCAGGCCCAGGGCAGGAGTTTGTTTGGAATTTCAGATTTGATTTTAAGCAAGGGTTAGCTGATTAGTCATTTCTCACGTGTTCAATCCTCTTTCCCGTTAGATATGGTGGAAGCCATGCATTTGAAGAACGGTAGCCTTTTTTAAAAGGCTTAACATTACGTGTCATAGAACTTAAAACTATACAACAAAGCCATAGGACTCAGTGTTGTCGATGTTCAACAAGTTGGTTTTCTGTTTCCAAGGCGAGAGGAACCAGCTTGGGGCTCTCTGATGGACTGTGGGAGATTTTTTTCTAGTACTATGGAGAATTTTTCAATGTGAAATGCTTGCCGTGACCTAGGGGTGAATTCTCCCTTCCTGTCTCAGAATTTCAAATTCCTGGAGATTGAAAGAATGCTGGTCACCCCTTGGTTTGAAGCTCAGCTTTCCCCTGGGGCCTGCCACCCTCTGGCTCCTGCCTTCCCAGGACGGCTGTTGCCCAGTTACTAGCTAAGCCGAGACGGCAGCCAGGGGAGGCCCAAGTGTTCCTTTGCTTCATGTTGGTAATTTCAACCCTTTTTCGAAGTGGGCACACCTGACAGGTGACATTCACACCTGTGACACACTTGGACTGCTGTGCCCTGGGTTATGCCCAATACTGTAACTCACCTGGCTGTCTTTACTCAGGGAAGCATAGTGGAGTACAGAGTAGGAGAGATTTTGTAAGATTCTAAAATTTTATAAGATTGAAAGCCAACCCTGAATCTGCTCAAATTTATATTAAAAAGAAGTCATTCGTGGCTTTGGGGTAATAGCCTGTCTGTTTGAGGCAGAGTAGGAGAGGCGAGGCCAGCATGCCTGCCGCCAGCGCCTTGCCCTCTTGGCGCGCTGTGGACACTGTGACAGTGGCTGCCCGGAGCTGCTGCCCGTGAAGTCTCTTGACGACTTCAGCCTCCCTCTCACCGTCTCTTCCGCACAGGTGGTTAAGACTATTGGCCTTCGGGAAGTGTGGTACTTTGGCCTCCAATATGTGGATAATAAAGGATTTCCTACCTGGCTGAAACTTGATAAAAAGGTAAGTCAGAGTTGACTATTTACAGGCTGTTAGAACTGGGTGTTGGTCAGCTCCACCGACATGGGAACTGGGGCTCCTTACTCTGCCTTTTGTTTTTTGTTCTTTTTATTTCTGTAAAAGTTTTTACAGACAAAAGGTTGTAGGTTTCCAGTAAATGAGGTTATTAGTTGGAAATTAGATGCTGCATTTCTCCTCTCTGCCCATTCATTGGAGCTGACGATGGTTAATTGCTTAGCTTTTAGGTGGCCTTAGTTTTTTTTCAGTGAGATCGTTAATCTTATGAACCATGAATCACCCACTGTTTTGTAAGAACTTGTTATTGCTTTGTTTGAACCTGTGATAGATTATCTTCCAACTCTAAAGAATGGATGATTCCATTAACAATTATAAAGAAAAGCAGTAAGCTTCAATGTGTATTCTCCAAACAATCTGAAAAATGTTCCTTTTCCCAAACCCCTAGTGTCTTCCATATTACTGTAATGTGTCAGGAGGGTGTCGGGGATGTGGGAGAGAGGATGGACGTGAGGAATTTTTGAAAGTCCTTGGTCCAGGGATAGGCTGGCCCTGCCCTGTGGTCAGACACCAGGTTCATAGGTCACTGAATTGTTTCTAAACTCAAGGTCTCTGGAATTGGTAGCACTGTGCCAAGGAAATGTGGGCTGGGGCCAGTAGCTTGGTGGGTCAGTAACTGGCTGTCTAGACTTCCAGCTATGTGTTGGAATGTAATAGAACTTTCACTGAACTCTTCTTGTCTTAATGTTAAAAAGAGGAGTTTCAGAATAAACATTGTCTTCTGAACACCGTCTGAAGGACCCTTTAGAGTCAGTAGTTGGACACCTGGGCTTGGCAGGCAGGCCTTCTGAACTTGTGAGAGTCTGGCTTCTGTTGTCCAGGTGTCCGCACAGGAGGTCAGAAAGGAGAATCCTCTCCAGTTCAAGTTCAGGGCCAAGTTCTACCCAGAAGATGTGTCTGAGGAGCTCATCCAGGACATCACACAGAAGCTCTTCTTCCTGCAAGTGAAGGAGGGAATTCTCAGCGATGAGATCTACTGCCCTCCGGAGACAGCAGTGCTCCTCGGCTCCTACGCTGTGCAAGCCAAGTTTGGAGACTACAACAAGGACTTGCACAAGTCTGGGTACCTCAGCTCTGAGCGGCTGATTCCCCAGAGGTGAGCGGGGTGGCCAGGCCTGGGCGAGGGCAGCGGTGGCACCCGTGACAGGCATGGGCTGTGTGTCGGAAGAAACGGTCAGCAAGTACAGGGACTTGGTCATGGCCAAGTGCTCCCTAAGGCTGGGACCCGGCCATGCCCCCACATGCAGTCTGTGCCCTGGAGTCCCCTGAGGCCCTGGCAATCTGCCGGAATGGGGTCTGTGATCCAGAGACACGGCAGAGAAGGGGACCCTTCCTTCCGGAAGCTGAGGAGTGGCCGGGCAACTTGGGGACACCCTAACATAATCAAACTCCTTAGCTCCCCCTGGTTCATAGTAATTTGGCCCTATTAGATCAGTGTTTATTCATTAATGGTCACATAAATTACCCCTTTTGAAAGAGGAGGCCACTTAAAATAATTTTTACAAATTTTTTCCAGCAACACTTGGTTTGTCTCCATCTAGGTTCTAAACATTCCAGGTTGTTAATTGTCATAAATAGAAACACGGCACTTTGGGAAGTAGAAACAAATGCTCATTGTGGTGGTTTTATTTGAAAGAAAAGTCAGAGTGTGCAGGAGGGTGGGGTCGCTCACCTCTCCCGGCCTGTGGAGTGATAGCCTATGGCCTCTTCCTTTGCAATGCAGGGTCATGGACCAGCACAAGCTCAGCCGGGACCAGTGGGAGGACCGCATCCAGGTGTGGCACGCCGAGCACCGCGGGATGCTCAAGTGAGTGCGGGCAGGTGCTGCGGCCTGCCCAGCTGGCTTGGCCAGTGGCGCTAGGAGGACCTCAGGGTGATTAGTTCCTCGAGATTCGGGGCACCAGTCCCAGGGCCTTGGCAGAGCAGGGAAAGGTGACACGTTTTTGTTTTTAAAAAGCCACACGTTCTTGCCTGCAGTGAGAAACAGCCCATAGCCTTGCAGTCCCTGGAGCCCTCTCCTGCCCTGGCTCAGAGCACAGAGAGCTTTGTGCCTGAACCCCTTCCTTTTAGTCAGGCGGGCAGAAGCATTGTTCACAAGCCATCAGAGGTATTTCTTTTCTCTCTCAGAGGTTTCCTGTTCATTATCTATAAGGTAGTTGCCTCAAAAGTGTGTAAATGGATAAAAATTAATCCCAAGTGAGAGACTTGCTCTTAAAGGACAAGTGAGGCCTGAAGGAGGGACGGCCTGTGACATGGGGCTGCTGAGTGAAAGAAATGGCCAGACCCTGTTGTCCTGGGATCCTCGCTCCGGACCTTAGCAGCCACTGTGTGATTTCCCGCCTCAGACACCATGTCCTAGAGTCTCCTGGCTGGCCTGAGCGTTGTGTGTAGGGGGAGGGGCTCAGGCTGCTGGCGAGCAGGTAGTGGGCGCCCTGAGGCTGCATGTAGGCGAGAGAGGCAGGGATGATCCTGTGTGTCCAGGGAAGCCAGCCGGCATCAGCTCAGTTCTTGCAGAATGTGTGGACGGCATCAGGGGTCAGTGGCCAAGACGGCCTGGGCCACTCGGGGCGCAGGTATGGACACCGGCAGAGGGACAGCAACTGCATCACATGCTCTCAGCCCATTCTACGTGCTTGCCTTAGGTTTAAAACACTGTTCGTGCACACTAACAATTACACCAATGTTTGCTCTCCCCAACTAGAGATAATGCCATGCTGGAGTATCTGAAGATTGCCCAGGACCTGGAAATGTATGGAATCAACTACTTTGAGATAAAAAATAAGAAAGGAACAGATCTTTGGCTTGGAGTCGATGCCCTTGGACTAAATATTTATGAGAAAGATGATAAGTGAGTTGAACTTTATAATTATTCTTAGTTGGTGGGCATTGAGCCTGGAAACTGGAGCAAATGGTGGTTATGCCTGTGGGTTATTTTTGAAGTATTTATCTGACTGACCTGACCTACGTGTGAGTCTTCAGGGGTGCTCTGTGTTGGAGGTGTGCTCAGAGATGCCACTGTTCCCCCCCATCACTGTGGCCTGCTTATGAGCACGGGGGGCACGTGCCGCGAGGGTCCCCACCCCCCAGCCTCTGCAGAGCCCCTGAGCAGCCAGACGGGAGCTGCAGCGTGGCTCCCCTCTGCTTTCACGGAGGCCCCACTGCAGCTGCCCGTAGGCACCACACACCTGCCGCCACCCAGGCAGCCTGCAGTGCTGGGCGGCCTGAGGTTGGTGCTCACCCAACTGAGAGCCATTCCAGAGCTGTGGGAGACCGCAGGGGTCTGTAAACAGTGGCTTTTGTACAAACGTCTCGCTGAATCCGTGGACCCTGCGGGAGGTGGCTAATGGCCTCACGTTGCTTGAGACCGTAGAGTGAGGTCCGCGAGTGCAGAAAAGCACAAGGCGAGCCGGCCTCTCTGTTCACGCCTCGCCCCTCCCCTCCCTGTGGGTGCAGCTGCTGTGCAAGGGCCTGTTTCTGCTGCCAGGGATTAAATAGCCAGAACAGTGAAACACCCTTAGTCAGCGAGGGTGGGTTTCCACGGTGCTTCCCTGCTCCTTTGAGTGGTGCTCCGCCCCTCCCAGTCCCTAGGCTTGCTAATGCTCAGGTCCCCACAGACCACCCCCTCCTTTGGCGGTCATGGGATGAGCGCCACCGCTGGTGACAAATGACATCACATTAAGAATCCATCTAGCATCCCAGCCATGTGCCTTCTCGCCAGAAGCCCGAGTGTGTGCACATTCCATGTGGGCAGGGCATGGGCCTGTGTCAGACCTTCCAGACGCTCCCTAGCGCCTGAATGGACAGAGGCATGCCCAGGGCCCTGCGAGGAGACTCACTCTCTGCTAGAAGGCATGGAACCAGTTGGGTGACTCCTGGTACACGGTACAGCATGACAGGCTACTCAGAGACGCAGAGCAGCTCTCCCAAGAACCGAGGTGTCACTGGGGACCCCGGCTTTGCTCCTTCCCCAGTGTGCTAGATCGGGTGGGAAGAGAAATACTCACAGTCTGGGTAGGTAAGGGGACTCGGGAAAGCTATCTGCGGTCCTCCTGGAGGCCCCAAAGTTGGGGGACAGTGGCCAGTCAGCACAGTAAAGAACATGGCAGCCTCAGGGGAACGTGTGGGAAATTGCTTCTGTCTTTGAACTCGTTTCTTGAATGACCAGATTTTGTAACGTAGCCATGGCCAGCGCTGTCCAAACAGGTTTTTCAGGCTGTGGGAAGCCGCTGTGGGCAGGAACTTGCTGGGTCAGCTGTGACCTCCTGCAACCCCCCTGAATGTTCATTTTCTCCAAGTAAAACCTTGAGCTGCATGGCTCAGTCAGCCCTTTTCCTGCTCTCCTTCTCCCATGTCCCCAGTTTAGCAGCAACTGTCAGGCCTCTCAAAGGGGAATGTTGGGGTGAGCCTTACTTTTGCCCCTTCCTCCCGGCTCCTAAGGCAGCTCTCTTCTCAGTTAGGAAGAAACACTTGGCCAGATTGTCAGTCGATCAATAGGCCTGAGTTGTTCTCCTTTTAAACACAAATATTGACAGCTTGGTTCCCAAGATAAACGGGAGATGATGACTCAAGTCTGAGAAATGCTGTGACCACTCCTGGCTGTTGAGTGACTACTCTGAGCAGCAGGACCAGCAGTGGAGAATCGGGGTTCTCAGAGCACGATTCAAGTGAGCAATGGGACCTACTGAGTGTCAGCCGGGTGATGAGAGGCCCCTTGTGCCCTGCAAATCAACACATACATCTTCGTCTTACTAAAGCGCTTGTCCTTTTTAGTGTGAAATGTGCTCTGATGAGGAAATGTCCCTTGAGGTCCCTTTTCATAACACATGGAACCACTAAGTAGCAGAGTGCAGGACTGAGAGCACCTGCCTCCCCTTTCTGTAGACCCTTATGTCAAGAAACAGGGAGGAAAGGAGCAGACCCCTTCCCCGAAAGGCATCACCGGCTTGGGAGCAGAGAAAGCTGAGGTCTGCACCATCATATCCCATCTGGCGTCCCCAGACCAAAAGCAAAGCAACAGAAATGAAAACGGGAGTGGGGGGGGGCGGGACCTGCCCCCAGGTTTTTTCTGTCCCTGGTGCCATCCCGCTGGGCTCGCTCTCTCTGGAGGCCTGCGGGCTGCTGTTGGGGCCGTGTCGGAGTGCTCTGGCCTTGGGGCTCCGGCGCCCAGTCATGAGCCCTGTGAGGGAGGCTGCTGCACACCAGCCAGGCCCCCAAACCAGGGCCCATGTCTTCTCCCTTGGCTTCCTTACCTAGGGTTGTAAATCAGATATTCTGATTCACATTTCCATTTCATTAGCTTTAGAAATGATGTTTCAAGCATATTATAATCAACTAGCCATTAAAATGTAAATAAATTATTTCCAGTTTCTAAATTTATGCTCACAGGCAGAATAAGTTAATTTTGCCTTTTGTGGGGTGGGGGCAGGGGTTGGTGTAACACATCTGTGCTGTGTTGCTAGTGGCAGACCTACGTTAGGAGGGCAACAAGCAAATTCTGTTGATTTCTGTGAGTTTTGTTTTACCAAATATTCCAGGATCACGGGTGCCAGACCAGTCTCTCTCCTTTCTGGTCTTTGGAACCCAACTTGAAGAGGGAACAGACAGGATTTTCCAAATAACCTGGCCTCTCACAGAAGTGTGCTGTTGCAAGGACTCCAGTAAGACCACCTGGAGGACGAGGTTTAAAAGTTGAGCTCAGCTTGGCAGAGAAGAGAGCTTGGCCTGTGAGGTGTTTAGACCCCTGGGAAGGGGTGGCAGAGAAAGGAGCAGGGTGCCTTGAGAAGTCCAGATGCAGGCAGTGGAGAAGGGAAGGGTGGGGGCGGTTCCCTGAGAGGCCTGCCCTGCAGAGAGGTGGGAAACCCCCAGGACAAGGCCCTCTGGATGCGGAGAGGGCAAGACTAGACTAGCAGCTTTCTTTCCACTGTAAAAATGTAGGCCAAAGACTGCTGCCCGGGGCCATGCCTGGCTATTCTTCCCCGTGTGTGCACAGAGTGGTCTCCAGCCCATCCCACCACCCCAGACCTTCCCTAAACTTTTTTAATGAAATTTTTTTTTCAAACAAACTGCAAGATGGAAAGGGGTTTTCAGCACCCGTGCACCTACCACCTCGAGCCACCACTTGCTTCATCACACCTTCCCCTCCACATGACGCTGCCCCCACCCCCCGTGGCCCTCTCTCTCTCAGACTCATTTCAGAGTTAATTGCAGGCATCTGTATGCTTTCCCCAAAATGCGTATTATTTTCTAGAGCTCAGTATGTTGTGGTTTTCTTCTGCTGTGAAATTTAAATACAGTGAAATGCGCAATTCCTAAGTGTTCATTTACTGAGTTGAGACAAACACATGCCTGTAAAATCCATGCTTCTGTCAAAATGTAGAACATTATCATCATGCTCCACTGTGTATTTTGATTTTATATTTTTTAGCCGTTTTTTTCACTTGGGAAATCATTTCAGACTTTTAAGAAACTTGCAAATACCGAGAGAATTCCCATATACACTCACCCAGCTTCCCCAAATACTAACATCTTACATAAGCATAGTCCACATACCGAAATCAGGAAGTTAATGTTGATACGGTACTGTTAACAGTCCGTGGACCTGACTCCCATTTGAATCCGGTGTCCACTAATGTCCTTTTTCCCCCTAGGATCCCACCTGGAATCTCACCTACATTCAGCTGTCACACCTCCCAGTGTCCCACCATCTAGGACAACTTCACCATCTGTCATGACCTTAACACTTCTTCAAAGAGTACTGGCCGTTGACCTTTCCAAAGTCCCTCAGCTTAGATCTGTGTGATGCTTTCTCATGATGCAATTCGAGTTTTGCACTTCTGGCCCAGCCCCAACGGGCGTGCCGTCCTGCCCTCCCGGGCCTCTGGCAAGGTGGCACATGATGTCAGAATGTCTTATTACTGGTGGTGGTATGCTCACTGGTCAGGCTTCTCTGTGAAGTCACTACCCTTCATGGTTGTTAAGGGTATTTCAGGGAGATGCTCTGAAACTATGTAGTTCCCTGTTTCTTGCATATTTTCATCTATGAATTCCATTGATGAGACTTATATGAAAATTAGTACTGTGGTATTTAAGAAATGGTTTTCTTTTAAAAATGCGTTCCTTTACATGTATTAATTGGAATTCTGTATGGAATCAATATCTATATTTGTTTCGTTATTTATAACAGTATATACCCATGGATATGTATTACTATTTTCTTGCTGCAATTGTTTGAGATTTGCCTTTCGGCTCTCCTTCAAGTTGGTTTCTATGCCATTTTGATGTGACCCTGTTAGTTTTAAAAGACTTCTTTACTTTCTTGCACCTCAAGATGTTCCAAAACTGTCTTGTACTTTCCCTGCTCTAGCCCTGCAAACAGCTATTTCTCTAAAGAACTGTGGTCCCTGTTACTGGAAATTACCCCCCCTTTTTTAAATGTGTGGTCAAACAAGAACAGACTTACAATATAAATCCTTTAGCACTCTTCTCTGTGGGTCCTTCTCTGTTCATGCCCTATATGTGAACTTCTAAAAAAGAGAAAAAGAAAGAGATCCTTGTAGACTTCAATTTTCCAACTTTAGGCAAGTATTAAAGGAGGTCCTTTAACTCAGAAGTGAGTCATAACTTGCATGTTTAGTCGTCTAACACTGCAGTCACGCTTATGAAGGGCTATAAATTGTTATATGAGGTTTCAAAGTCTTAAAAGACAAACTTCCCAGACACACCAGAAAGCAGAGGGCTGGAGGCCATGGAGACAGGATGTCCAAGCCATGAAAGATGCCATTCTAGCCTGAAGGTCCAAGTTTTCCGGAATCAGAAACTGTTTTGACAGACCTCTATACAGCTGGGGGCAGCGAGTAGATCCTTGCCTCTTTGGAGTTTGGGACTTGGAAGTCTGGCCCACAGTGTCAACTGCACGGTGAGAACTGGGCAGCAGCCACTTGGTTCTCTGCCCCTTGGTTGCCAGCACGGCTCCTGGGCTTTAGAGGAGAGTGCGCCCACGTAATGTCACCCTTACAGTTTGTACATGTAAGGACGTGGCTGCCGTCTGTGGCAGGACCAGCTGATATCCTGAGTTCCTTTCTAGTGCTCAGAGACCTGCAAACAAAATTTGCTGTTTAAAAATTTCATAGCCCATATATGAAGATAAATAACATAACGAACTCCCTGCATGTCTGAGTGTTGTGAAGCATGTTGGCCAGATGTGCTTCAATGGCATTAGTGACCCTATAGGACAGAGCTATTAAAACAGATGTATTCCAAAAAGGTTTGACAGTTAAAATCACAGCCTGGCCAGTGCCCTGTCATTTCTCCTCCAGGCGTACTGTGACCGTCGTGACCCAGAAGAGACATCCACTAGGCTGAGATGCCCTCTCCTCACCTTCAGAGGGGCTGTGGCCGAGCTTATGTTGTCATAGCAGGACCTACATTGCCCATCCATTTTTATTTTAAACGTGTTAGTAGGCAACATATTTCTCTCCACCCCTGCTATTTTCTAAATTGAAGGTTTTATGAAAGGCATGTGGGAAAGGACTGTTTTTGATGGCAGTATCTCTGAATGACGGTTTGAGGATCTGTTGTTACTTGCAGAATGGTGTCCATGGTAAAATGAGTTGAAAGAATAGGGTGGGAATCATGAGGTTAAGTAGAGCAGTATGCACTTGAACTTACCCGGGAATTTTAATGAAACAGTTGAGTTGCAGCCTATAATGGACTAGCAGTGATTAAGTACAACAGACAGTCCTGGGGCTTTCGCCAGGGTGTGTGGTTCTAAGTGCTGTCTTAGCTTATGGGGATGGCGCAGGGTGGAGGCTGCAGCTGGGGGAGCATGCATCACTAAGGTGAGGCCCAGGAGAGCAGAATTCATCCCAAGCCCTCCACTCACCGAGAAGATACAACTGTTGTAAACATATGCACATCCATATCGCAGCAGCTAAATATATTAAGCAAATGTCCTAATGGGTCTGAAGGGAGGAATAGACAGCCACGCAGTAATCACAGGGGACTTCAATAATCCCACCTTCAGCAGTGGATACATCATCAAGACAGAAAATCAACAAGGCAGTGTTGGAGTTGAACCAAGCTCTTTCCCATTTCCACTGGTGAGCAGCTACTCTGCATATAGCATGTATAGGAAACATAAGACGTGATCTTTGCCATCAGAAAGCTTACCTGCCTGGTTTGCAAGGAGCAAAATAATGATGTAGTAATTTAAGTAATGTGAAGAGGTAGTTTGTAGCCTAAGAGACTGCAAGTTGAGAGGGAAGACTGTTGGAGGGAGAGTTGAGCTGGCCTGAGGGTGAGTGTCAGGGGTGTGCAGGGAGAAGGGAGGCCCTCTGGCAAGGCCCAGCCGATGAGACTCTGCTCTGGCAGGATGGCTTTGAACCAGGAAGCTGGCGCTGGATTAGAAGGCTCTTGGGTGCCAAGTGAAGGACTATGGATTTTTCTCTTACAGAAACTGGGAGAGGGACATGGACATTTTTGAAGAAGGGAATGGAAATCAGATGAGCAGACTGGAAGTTAGGTTCTGGCAACAAGGGACCTGGTTAGGCTGCTGGCAGTGAGCGATCTTCCAAAGGATGAAAGAATGTGCCTGGTTAGGGATCAAAGTTGACCTCAAGGTTACCAGCCAGGTGACTGCACTCAGTGAGCTGCTCAAAGCTGAGAAAGACTAATATAAACGGGAACATGTTGAAGTTTTCTAGAGCTTGACCGTTATAGAGAGCCACCTGACTTAACCTATGCAGGTAGACACTCTGGTAATGGCACATATTTTGCTTCCAGAGCTAGTTTTCCACTCTTCAAAATTGCACTGAAATATTAAGAATAGATTTGCAAATCTCTCTTGACTAGTCAAGCACATCTAACCATGCTACTTTTTAAATTTTAATCTCAGGTTGACTCCAAAGATTGGCTTCCCGTGGAGTGAAATCAGGAACATCTCTTTCAATGACAAAAAGTTTGTCATTAAGCCTATCGACAAGAAGGCGCCTGTAAGTGCACGTGGGCCTTACACAGGGGTTACTGTTTTTCACTCTTACAGCCAAGTGTGTTTTCAGGATAACAGTCAGATTTCTCTATGTGATAAGGAGCTGGTGGTACTCAGAAGTTCCGTGTGGTGGTTGCGGGTGGGAGGGCACATTGCCAGCAGGTTCCATCAAGGGCAGGGGACTTGGTGGGACATCGGACTGACTATTGCTGTGGGAGGTTTTGGTGGAGCCCAGCTGTCCGTCAAAAGCTAGCTGGCCCTGCCACCTGAGTTGGTCACATAGGAATGGTCATCTTTACTTACGAAGAAAAGGGCCGTTCTGAGTCTTTGACCTCTGCCAGATGATAAGCATTTCACAAAGTGTGGCATTTCTGGGTTTGTGAAATGGTCACATTTGCGGGCGAAACCAGCCTGCATCCAGACGGTGTGCCTGGGATGTGGGGGCTTTCCTTGGCCATCTCCCCGGGCCCCACTGGGGCACAGATGACCGCCCCAGGCCTCAAGGACCTTGACTTTCAGAGTCGTCCTTGCAGCCTGCCCCTGTTAAGAAAAGTCAGGCTTCCATCCAGAGCATTATTAGTCCCCAGGGCCCACCTGTACCTCCCCTGCCTCTCAGGCACATGCTCACCTCTGCTTTTCTTTCACCACCCATAAAGTTGGCCTTTATGCAGGTACCTTGAGGTTGGTGCTGAACAAAGATGAGGCCATTGGGACAGGCATCCTGGGAGGACTTAGCTAGGAAAGGGATTTTACATCCTGGAATTTGAAGAATATTCAGTGTTAGCTAATAGCAGCAAAGACCAGTATGCTAAATAGAAATTCATTTTATTTCTAAGCAAAAAGAAATTTATTGCTTATTCTAACATGGAAACTTTCAGCTGTTTGCTCAAAATTTAAGACATACATAGTGTCATGTAATGGAAAGGGTAAGGATTTTGTGTTCTAAAAAAAAATTATAAAAATCTGGTTCTTAAAAAATTGCCCCTTGAAGAATTCTCTTATCCTCCTTAAAGCCTGTCATGAATTTTACCAAAATTACAGATTGGGAAGGACTTTGTGCCTCATGTAGTGTTTGTTCCTTAGTTACAGTGTTAGGCTTGGAGAGGCAAACATGGGCTGGGGCCCAGGCCTGGCAGTCCGGAAGCCTTCCTGGGCTTGGGCACCGCTCGGCAGTGGCTGACCCACATGGGGCATTACTGTCCAGCCATGCCTCCCACATACGTGTTTGTCCCGAGTGAGTGAAAACCAGAGGTCTTGACACTGGTTTTCTTTTTTATTGAAAATGTTCCCTGCTGTTTACAGACTCTTGACTCCTACCCCATGGGGAGCTGCACAGTTATTTACAATTAAACTAGCATTTTATACAGACTCTTGTGCTCCATGGTAATGGCCACATGAGCATGCAGCACCGTGGGCCGAGGGTCATAGTGTCCCCGTGCTAACGTGGGCAGCGAGGTTGGTGCAGCTAGGAGAGCAAGAAGACTCAGAAGTCTCTGGGTAGGCTGCTCTCTACTCACCAAGATGCTGCTGATTATTTCAGAACTATTTTCTAAGAAATTTGGTTGACAGAAGCAGGAATTCTGGACTAGATTGTTTTAGAGTTAAGTTGTGGGGTTTAATTGGGAATAAGTTTTAGCTTTCAAGTATTTCCTACTCATAAAATCCCAAGCCAAGGCAATTATAATGCCTCTGGCTGCATACGCTGAGCATACTTTTACTATATACTAATTTTATGTGAAGCCAGTGGTTAAAGCAAAAACAAGAGAGAGAAACATTTGCTGGTTCTAAGTCAGACTCTATTCTAGGATTGTGTGCACAGCATGAACAGAATGACATTCTCCAAACCTGTGAAGTCTCTTCTAATGGAAGAGATGGAAAAAACAAGTAACGTGTCTGCTGGTGTGAACTGCTCAGGCCCCCTGTTGGGGGAAGGGGTGCCAAGTGAGGAGCTGGTCTGGGGGAACCATCGCTGGTGCTGTGCACGCCTTACCAGGACTGTGCCACTTCTGCAGCACTGTCAGGCCTCAGTCTTTGTACTTAGGGCAGTAAAAAAATCAAAATTCCAAGTTTAAACTACCTAGAAGAAAGAAAAGGAAACCCCAAAGGTCAGTTGGTGGCTCCTTTTCTCACGCTGACTTGTGGAGGGCGCCCGCCCCCGGGCAGTTTCTGCAACAGACTCACAGATAGCCATTGTGTGTCCCCATGACCAGGCATTTCCCGTGTGACAGCCTGTCTCTCCTCCTGCCAGCTTGGATACTGCAGTTTGGGGCCATATTTTGACTCCTGTGATGGGACTAAAATTCGAGAATGTTCAAAAGCTGGCAGGTTGGCCCAGTGAGGGGCTGAGACAGGCTGTCTCCTCCTGCAGAAAAGGGCCTTTTGTCCTGGAGTCTCATGGAAGACACAAAGCTCTTGGGCAGCTAACTGTGTAACAGCCTGTGAACTGCTGAAGAAATGAAGACTTAGATTCCATGATGACCTGCTCTGTGCTGAGCTGCTTTCCCCATGACCTGGCTTGGCTCCCGCGGCCTGCCCAGCCCACCTCTGCTCCTGGGCTGAGGGCCTGGGGTTGCGCTGCAAGGGAGAGCCTCCTAGAAGCTCCTATTATTCATTCCTTGACAGCTTTAAAGGTTGCTTCTCCACCTCCTGTCTCTCCTGCATTCTTAGGGACTTGGATCCATTCCCCTGAACTATTCTCATGCCTACAGTTTCTGTTTGGAGGATGCCCAGTGTCTGCCAGTTTAGAAGGCTGCTGCAGATCTCGTCAGTGTGTGGTTTCGCATTAGGAGGCATGGTCTGGGGACTTGGATTTAAAGATATTTAAATAAATATTAGCGTTTAGTTTTGTTTTCAACTTAAAGTCAGAAACTGGTCCCCCTCAAAGGTAGTGCAGGGAATTTCCTCCCTGCCCTGCAAAGACGCGGGCGCTGAGGATGCTATCACTGTCTCTCGCCCTTCGGAGGGCCTGTCTTGGTGACAGATGCCATGAGGAGTGTTACCTGCAGTTTCTGTCCCTTGATTTTTTTTTTCAAGCTGACTTTTTTCTAAAGAGGAGTTGGTGCTAATCAGTTTCTTTGCAAATGTTTGGGAGCCACAGTCCAGACCTAGTCATGTAGCATTCCTGTGCAGCCACAATAAGACGGTTTTCTCCTGTGCAGTAAGAGATAGGTGGGTAATGCAAATTCCTTCCTCTCCAAGCAGTGCAGACACCTCCCTGGGAAACCTGATGACTTCGTAAGTGTGTGAAACCCCAAGGAGAATTCCACCCAGGAAGTCTGTGGGCCTGACATTACTCTCCCCCCAGCATTTCTGGTACAGATGAAAAACGAGAAGCTAAAGGTCCTCTGGGGCGTGTCACTAAGCTCACCCAGCTCATCCCTTAGGGCCCAGCAGTTGCTTTGTAACATGTACACTGTTTCTCTGGCTCAGCCACCTTTCCCCTGTTCCCAGTGATTAGAACCTGGATGCTGAGGGCCCCGTGGCTCAGAAGAGAGAGGGAAAAAAAAGAAGTAGCCATTTTTAAATAATTTCTAAGAAGTTTCTAAACCACATTACCGCCCTTCTGTCACCTACGTTAATCACAGTGGTAGTAAGGCACTGGGAAGTAAGACCATTCCTCTGTGCTCCAGACTTTTGCTGTCACTGGTCCTCAAGTTCCCAGAGGCTGCGACTGTGTTCCATTTGTAAGGCTTTCCCAGTAGCTTCATAAAGCAGTCAGCAGTTTGGGCGAGCATTCTGTGTACCAGCCTGCTGCAAGCATGCAGGTGCCATTCCAAATCCTCGTGTATGCGTGTGATTCAGTCACCACACAAAGCTCATCAGGTCAAGCTCATCAGGTAGCCAAAGAGGCTCAGTCTAAGGAAGTGACTTGCCCAAGGTCATCTGCTCAGATATGTCATTGCTGCATAAACTGTCAGTCAGTGGAGGTTTGTGGAGCACCAAGAAATAGTGGACACTCATTCGGTCCTGGGAACAAAGTGGCGAATGAACATGGTCCTGCTCTCCAGAGAGCTGATTGTCTAGTGGCAAAACCAGTACATGTCAGTGGAGTAAAGTGCCAGTGACACTGGCTGAATCTCCACCCAGCGCAGCAGAAATGCTGGTTAGCCTGGGAGAGGGCAGAGGTCACAAAATGACACAAGAAGGTGCTGAGACATCACTTGTGGAAGTGCCGGTGTCCTTGGACACATGGGGTTGGACACTGTTCCAGGTAGGAGGGACTATGAGGACCTGTGAGCAGGGTAGTTGGGGCTCCGGCTCAGAAGGCCATCACGTGTGCCAGGCCACAGCATTCGCACCTGATCCTGGAGCTGGTGGGCTGGCGTTGGGAGTCTGGCGGCGACCTGATGGACCTGCTGGCAGCAGTGTGGGAGTCAAAAGGTTGAGGCGGGGAGACCAGAGGGTCAAATGGCAGAAGCTGTGGCAGTCCGGGCAACATGGGGACAGTGGCCGAGGGGCTGGACAGGCACAGGATGTAACCAAAGATCAGGCCCCTACTGGGACTTGGAAGTAATGGGTTTAATACATGTCATATCCTACAGGGCCGAGAACCTTCCAGCATCTTGTCACTTGGGGGTTGGTGACTTTATCTTGAAGTCCCTTTCTGGCCCCCTGTTCTCTGCTACCTTTGTCCCTTTAGAAAAGGTGTCCAGAACTCTGGACATCAGGTTTGGAAGAGAGAGCCAAGTGAAGGTATTCCTGAGTCAGGGTTGCCTGTTCTGTTCTGCAGGACTTCGTGTTCTACGCCCCCCGCCTGCGCATTAACAAGCGGATCCTGCAGCTCTGCATGGGGAACCACGAGCTATACATGCGCCGCAGGAAGCCCGACACCATCGAGGTGCAGCAGATGAAGGCCCAGGCCCGAGAGGAGAAGCATCAGAAGCAGCTGGAGCGGTGAGCAGGGTGGCAGCAGGACTGCGGGCTGGGTGCTGCGGGTCCTTAGACAGCCTTGCTGCAGCGGGCCGGGCCGCCGTCGGGCCTGGGAGGGCCTGCACCATTCCCACCGGCAGAGCCGGGACAGCGCGACCTGGTGCTCAGTGGTCAGAGGCAGAGGGTCTTTGGAAGTTACCATGCAGGGCCCGAGCCTAGGCCCTCAGGGCAGCCTTGCTTGGTGGGCTGGGTGGTAGCAGAGCCTGGGGTGGGGCAGGAGGGGGACCTGGCATCTGTGCTGTCACCTCCTAAGTCCAGGCCATCCAGAGGCAGGCCTGGGGCCTGGACGAGACGCTAGGGACAGATGCAGGGGCTGCTGAGAGCGGTCGGGGTGACAGTGTGGGAACATGCTGGCCTTCCTGAGCCGCCCCTTACCCCTAACAGGCAGCAGCTGGAAACGGAGAAGAAGAGGAGAGAGACTGTGGAGAGAGAAAAGGAGCAGATGATGCGGGAGAAGGAGGAGCTGATGCTTAGGCTTCAGGATTTTGAACAGAAAACCAAGAAGGCAGAGAAAGGTGCGCCTGTGCACTATAGGCATTCACTCCAGGGTCTGTTTTCAGTAGATCTGGATATCCGTCTCCACCGGGAGGGACAGACAGATAGTCAGTACACTCACACACAGCCAGGAAGGAAATCTCCCAAGAACGTGTCTCAGTTCAGTGCAATACCCGAGATAGAGACGCGCAGAGGAGCGGACAGCAGGTAACTGACGAGGAGGCACTTCGGGGCCTTGGTGTAACACCTGTGCCGGCCCTGTGCTAAGTGGTTTGTGTGCGGCATCTGAGCCTTCCCTCAGGCCTGCCAGGTGAGTACTGAGGTCCCCCCATTTTCCTGATGATGATGTCATGGTGTAGCAGGTAGAATATTTGGCCTGAGGTCACACAGCTGGCGAGTGAGGAGCCATGCTACATTGCCCCCCCACCCTCCATAAACCAAAAGCAGGAGTTTGTGTTTCCAAGGAGAGCAGCGCAGCAAGCCCAGCCAGGCCGGGGGAGGGCTGCTTCCCATCTGTGCGGTGGTTCCTGACCACTGCGCCAGCGCCCTGGAAGCCCCACGGGCCACGCCACGCAGCCTTTGAGCAGCTCTGCGTCTCTGCTCCCTTAGAGCTCTCGGACCAGATTCAGAGAGCCCTGCAGCTGGAGGAGGAGAGGAAGCGAGCCCAGGAGGAGGCCGAGCGCCTGGAGGCCGACCGCATGGCCGCGCTGCGTGCCAAGGAAGAGCTGGAGAGGCAAGCGGTGGATCAGATAAAGAGCCAGGAGCAGCTGGTAGGAGTCCCCTGAGTTTCATGATGCTGAATTATGGAGAGGCTGCCTCTGGAGATCGAAAAAGTGACACCTGCCTTACAATGATTTGTAGCTGGGGCTGTAAGACAATCTGCTCGAGGGTATAGAGTGGCTTGGAGAAGTGGGGCTGTGCTGGCAGTTGGCCAGGGCAGTCCCACCACGACAGTCGGGGTGGGTGGGCAGTCGGGCAACGTCCAGCCTCAGAGACGCGGCAGGCAGTGGAGGCAGGCAATGGTGGACACTGCTGGCTGTAGAGGGAGGGAGGGATGTGGCTGTGTCACCAAGGAGGCCAGGCACAAAATACGTGGCTGATTCCCAAGTGGCGTCAGCTGCTGGAACCTGGACGTGACTCACCCTCCACACCCCTTTACCAGGCTGCCGAGCTCGCAGAGTACACCGCCAAGATTGCCCTCTTGGAAGAGGCACGGCGGCGCAAGGAGGACGAGGTTGAGGAGTGGCAGCACCGGGTAAGTGCCGGGTGGAGCCTCGCAGTGGTGCGCCTGCCCCCCAGGGCCTCCCGGGCTGGAGGGTGGCCCAGGCCAGGCTGGCAGGTCGCATTGAAAGCCTCAGGGACCTTTCGCAATGCTCTGCCGGTGCCAGCTGTACCTCTCAGGCTGGAATCTCCATAAGAATGGGCCTGCCCTGTGCAGTAGCCAGTGCAGTGATGGATTAGCAGGGAGCAAAGAATCACTTGCTCATTTCCACCTACTTGGCTCTGGCCACCCCAAACTGCAGCCCCAGCGGGCAGCCCCCGTGGGGAGCTAGCTTTAAATGTGATCGTGTGGGGGCCCCCACTGGGCCACAGTGCCTGAAACAAGGTCTCCTGCCTCTCCTGACTGCTGGCATGTGCGGTAGAGCACTGTGGAAAGATCCAGACCTGGGAGATCCACAAATGGGCAAGGGTCCAGGCTCCACTCCCATTATCTTTGTGACCAGGGCAAGTGGCCTGACTTCTCTGAGCCTCTGTTTCTTTGCTGCAGACTGGAAGTAATACCCAACTTGTTGTAAGGTTGCTCGGAACACCCAGCAGAGGGGTATAATGAGTTGTAGCCATAATAGAACCATGCTCCAGCACACAGGGAGTCTGTCTCCATCTGTGAGCCCTCATGCCCACCAGGAAGGCACGGTTCCTGGGGAGCTTTGCATACAGCTCAGCGCGTAGACCTCCGCCAGCTTGTGGGGGACTCCCCTGCCCCTCACCTGTGGCCTTTGCCACCTTCACGCTGCCTCCAAGTTGCACACAGAATACTTTGGTCCTTGGGTTTTTGGAGAAAGTGTTCATTATATAGTATTAAGTGAGAAAAGCTGGTTACAGAAGAGGCACAAACGGAGCCAATCTCCAGGGCTGGGTGTGGGTGGGATTGAGTGTGTGTACCCATGAGAAGTTGGCGGAAGGATTGGGCTGATGGGTAAGAAAGTGCTTGAGCAGCAGGCAACCAGGGGCCTGATAAATACAGGCCACAGATGGAGGGAGAGGAAAACCGCACACCAAAATATGAAAGTGGCTGGAGGATCTTCGTTTCTTCTTTAATAATTTTCTTTTTTTCAAAAATGTATATAATGAACATAGCTAGAATTAGAGACAGAAAAAAGAAGTTAAGGTTCTTAAAACCATGTGAAGCCCCTGGCATCAGTTTCCCTCCGTGTGGTGAGGGCCCCAGACCCTGCCCAGGGCCCTTCCAGGCAGCCGCAGCCCTCCACCTCCTGCTGTGTCCAGCCAGGCAGGAGAAGGGAGAGGAGGGCGGGGAGGGTGCAGACCCTTAGCCTCTAGCTGCAGAACCAGGGGATTGATTCTTCAGAAAATGGTCCAAACACGAGCGTGCGTGTGAGCATTTCTCACGTGCCTGTGGGTTTGCTTTCAAAGGCCAAAGAGGCCCAGGATGACTTGGTGAAGACCAAGGAGGAGCTGCACCTGGTGATGGCCGCCCCACCACCCCCGCCGCCCCCCGTGTATGAGCCGGTGAGCTACCACGTCCAGGAGAACCTGCAGGAGGAGGGCCCCGAGTACACGGGCTACAGCGCCGAGCTCTCCAGCGAGGGCATCCTGGACGACCGCAACGAGGAGAAGCGCATCACCGAGGCCGAGAAGAATGAGCGTGTGCAGCGGCAGCTGATGGTGAGCCGCCGAGCCGCCCCGAGCCCCGCGCGCCCCTTCAGGCGGGCGCCGCTCTCCTGGGGGAGGGCTGGGCCGTGTCTTGCAGCCTCCGGCACTGTGACGTGGGCAGGGAGCTTGTGCCTGACTAATGCTTCTCCACGTTGTAGACCCTGAGCAGTGAGCTGTCCCAGGCCAGAGACGAGAACAAGAGGACCCACAACGACATCATCCACAATGAGAACATGCGGCAAGGCCGGGACAAGTACAAGACGCTGCGGCAGATCCGGCAGGGCAACACCAAGCAGCGCATCGATGAGTTCGAGGCCATGTGAGGGCCAGGCCGGGACCCTGGGTGGCGGGCCTCCTGCCGGGCTCGCGGAGGGGCGCCACCCCAGACTCGCGTGGTACCGGTAGTTCTCTAACCTAGGCACCCCCCCCACCCCCACCATATTCCAGTTCCTTTAAAAAGACGGTAGTTATCTCAGTGGGAACATCCTGGGGTTGGGACCAGTGGAAACTTCCCTGGTTTATTTTTCCCAATTGTATCATAGTGCCAAACAGGCCTCATTTTTATTATTATTATTATTATTATTATTGAATCACTTCCTGTTTTCTACTTGGAGCAGGACTGATTGAATTAAGGAAAGATACCTTTAAGGTCTGAATAACAAACTCCATGCTGACATGTGCGATATAATCAAAACCACATTGTGGCTTATGTTCTGTGCCATACTTTTTTCTGTATTTGAAATTAGCTCAAATTGATTTGATCTTGATTTCTATGAAGGATCCATCTTTGTATATTTATGTTTTTTGAGCGGTGAAAATTTTATTGTGAAAACTGAGTCTAAAGCACTCTTACACACGTGCACACACAGTGATTCCTTTCTCTGGGCCTCCCGTTCAGGATACACGGTACAGGAGGATTCTCCACTCTTGGATAAACTGTTCTCATTTGGGTTTTTTTGCTTAACAGTGGCCTGCTTGGTGGGACTTACACACCTAATGAATGATCAGCTGTAGAGTGTAGTATTTATATATAAATGATAACATGGGTTTGTAACATTAGTTTAAAAAAGGGAAAGTTTCATTCTGTATATTTTGTTACCTTTTACAGAATAATAAACGAATTATGTGTTAAAAACCTGGTAAGCATGGCACTTGATCTGATGAGACATGGAGCAGTAGTGAAGCTGATTAACCGCTTTAATCACATCTGTAAAAATGGCTTGAGTTCTAGCACTCTTTGTGCTCATGGCTGACTATGCACATTGCAGTTTTCCATCAGAGTTTCTTGTTCGAGGACACACTTGCCCTTCTGATGAATCAGACACCAGCCTTGGAGGGAGTCCTCCAACCTGGTTATCAGCTGTGTTTCCACAAGAACTGTTCTGATCTATTTTCACTGTACCACTTCCTTGAAAAGCCGGTAAAATGTCAGCTCTCACACATCACCAGTTCTGCTTAGCTGCCCTTCCCATGCTCTGTTTGTCTCCTCGGTTAAGACGTCATGTGCGGATGAACCCTGCACCTGCGACTTAGGAACTAAAGCTGAGATGCAGCAGTGGGTGCATGCATGCATGTGTGGGGTGCAGCGGGCGGCCTTCCCGGACTCGGCCACCTGTGTAGTCCTGGCAGCGAGGCATGGTGAGGCTGGGGCTCTCGGCACTTCCCCACCTGAGCAGGCAGCCCCACTGCACTCCGTGGGGTGGCTGGCTGTGGGCAGAATGGGAGCAGTTGAATACCCACCCGGCTCTTTACAGGCCAAGACTGTGGTTCTCACAATCTGATGAGCCCTGGGAGACAGGTAGCTGTTGAACATTTAATGAAACCCGGCCATTTTCCACATCTCAAAGCAGAAAACCAACCTGACATTTATATAACCGCTAATTCCTCTGTTTAGCAAATACACAATGGAGATGGAAGGATGCTGTAGCTACGTGACAGCCCCAGGCAGAGTGTTCACACTCCAGGGGGCCTTTTCCAGCCATGTGTCCACACCCAGCTCTTCAGCTAAACCTCAGGCACACAGCCCTTGAAACACCCACTGTAGACTGGAACCTTCACTTCATTGCAGGACGAGAGTCATGTCTGTCCATAAATTGGGGCTGGAAAGAACTTTCTGCCACTGAAGCTTTGACTGTGAGCACGAGTCGGCACCACCACCTGACTCTTCCTCTGTGATAAAAGCAGAACGATAAATCAGTGATAGGTGAGGGGACACCACCTTACCACCCGTTTTCTCAGCTTTATGAAAATGAGGACCAATTTTTAAGTATTTTTTAACCTCAAGACCATATTAAAATATAAACCACTGGTGACAAGAGGGACCCCACCCCCAAACACGTCCAGAGCAGGACGTGCTCAGGTGTCCTCCCAGGTTCTGAGAGGCCTGAAAAGCCCAAGGCCGTGAATGGGGCGAGGACGGCTTCAGGGGGCCAATTCTCCCCCAACGGGAGTCGACAGTCTTAACACTTTCTGGTGTCTGTGGACAGGTGGGGGTGTCAGACTGCACTACATTTGTTCACTGGAAGGAGTTCCTTAGAGGAAGGGGGTGTGCTTTGCATGGTATTCCTTTTAAGACAGGTTGTAATTTATTACCAAAAGTTGCTTATCTTCAGCGGCCCTCGGCTGGGGCTGGAGTGAGCAAGTCCTCCCCAGCAAAGGGCACATCCCCTCCCACAGGACGCCGGCAGCACCCCTGTGGAGCAGCGCTGAAAGGGGTCCCACTCTTAATGAAATACTTTCTGAATTGTTGTTTGTTTGGGTTAAGAAGATATTTTCCTTTGAGAAAATAATCCTTTTATGATTGACACCAAAAACAAAAGCAAATACTGTACCCAGCCCATGAGGAGGCCTGTAATCTCTGTTGCTTTAGCAGATCTAAATCTGATTTAAATGGTTGAAATACTTTGCTGTATTATCTCTCAGTTGTAGACTAAGAACTAGATTTGGTAATCTCCATTTATGGCAGGGTTAGGCAGTTTCAAAGCCAGTTAAACCACCTGCCGTTGTGGAAGTATTATTTTCTTTAAATGGTATCCATGTGAGAGAGTCACTAAGGCTAAGCCATGCCACTTGGGCCCAGTAAATACCTGAAACAGACTTACTGGAACTGAGCCTGACTCCTCCCAGGAGGCGGTCATTCATACCAAAGACGGCCTGGTCCCACACGGTTAACTCGAGGCTTGACCGCCTCAGCTGGGACGGGGTCACCCCGTTGAACACAAAGGAGTGCTTCCACTGGGGACAAGCTTGCTTCTTCAGGACCGGGGACCTCAGCCACAGTTTTTGTCGGTCTGGCAGAGTGAGACAGCTGCAGGAGGGACAGAGATACAAATCCCGCAATGCCTGCCTGCACGTGGCCACCTTTCCCTGTTGATCCTTGCTTATCAGAGACTAAGTGCTAAGAAAGGGCTAAATCCTTCGCAGAATAAAAATTCTGAGCCAAGAATGCGTATGGAATCCCAGTATTGGCTGCATGACCTCTAGATGGGATCTTCTGAATTTAAGAGCTGAGCTCTGCACCAGGCATAAAGGGTGCTCTTTGGGGCTCTAAGCCACGGGGCTCTTAATGTGCCTCCTTGCATTCCCATCACCTAGGCAGCATCTGACTTATCAGCCCTGCCACCCGAGGATCAGGGCTGCACACACGTGACCTCATTTTAACCCTGTTCTTCCCAGGAAGATACATTGAGAAGGGCCGTGCAACTTGCCCAAGGCCATACAGAAAAGTGGCAGTGTTTGGACATAGTAAAGCCCTCATTTTTTCATTATGTCACTAACTGGGGATGTAGAGCGATTCTGTATAATTAACGGTGTTTGCTCTGCTTCGGAGATGCCAACACACGTGTGGTGAATAAGCGTGTGATACACAGCATCCTCCATCTTACTACTCACGAGAGACATAATGTTAAGGGCCTAGATTCTCAACACTGCTTTTTCCATGTCCTGTTTGAGTCAGAAAGTGCTGATTTGCTGATATAACACATAAGACTTGGGTTTCAGGTTAAAGTGTTCCAAATCTAGCCTCAGCATGTCCAAATCCCATGAATTCTTCGAAATCAGAGCCTTTTACACATGTGATGTTGAATTTTTATAGAAAAGCTAAAATACAGTGAGTTTAAAATGGCTTACACTGTCTGGTGTTTCCTACACTTCCTAGGACCATGCCATACATGTAATAGATTATCAGCTATTCATACTTGATTAAACCCCATACCTACCCCTTAACAAATGAGTTCAGGGCACCGTCCGACCGCACCGCCAAGTTCCTGGCTCCCAGCACTACCACACAGAGTTGGCCGTTAGGTGATGGCTGGTCTCCGGGCCCTGGAAGCAAAGCAGGCTTTTGCAGTCAGCCCTACTTCTGCACGTAGTGCACAATGCCAGCACCTGAAAACTGAGCTCAGCGAGAGGGTGTCAGAGCCCTCAGACCCCACGAGAGCAGACGGGAGGAGGAGCATGTCCACTGTCAGGAGGCTCTGAGGGCGCCGCTCCGGCGTGCCCCACTGAACAGGCAGCGTGGCGGAGCAGCCCTGGGACACCCGCAGCTGCAGAGTACAGGAGCCCAAGGACAGAGGGGGATACAAGTTTCAGTTCAGTGGTAGCCAGTGGCTTGGGGGCAGTGGGGGGCTCCCAGGACGCCTGTTCTAGGGGGATGGCGAGGCCTGTAGACGTGGGTGACCTGCAGCAGCAGAACGGCCTCTCCCGGTCAAACAGGAATCACCAAAGGACATTCCAGAACTGTGCACTCCCTCTGCATTCTCTGCCCTCACTTTTTCCATATGGCCATGGGATTTAAGCTCATTCAGTGTCCTTTCTGCAAGGTCCCCAAGGACCTGTCCTTGATCGTTCTCCCGCTGGGCAGCAGCTGCTCATGTGACCCAGGGGCAGGGACCTTCACCTGGAGCCTCGCGGGCCCCAAGTGCCTGGAGTCGTACTCTTGGTTACTAAGGGCCAAACTCCCAGCCATAACAGGTGGTCGCGGGCCAGGTCCCTCTTCAGGAGGGGCCAGAGCAGAGCTGTTCCCAGCAGGGAGACCATCTGAGCCTGCCCCCTGGGAAGAAAGCCTGGGGCTGGGGTCCTGGGGGCCACGTAACAGGCATCGAAGGCTCAGCCTGTTGGTCATTTGTTTCCCTTCCAAGCCGTGGGGTCCAAGAACCCATTTCCCAGGCTGAGCGTCCAGGTCTTGGAAAGAGTCACTGGAGCCCGTGGGATCAGTGGATGGCACAAAGAAAAGGCTAGAAAACATTGCCCCACCCCTCAGCCTACCTGCAGCTCCAGGCTTGGGGGCAGCAGCACATTGGCGGGGCTGGGGGCCACCTACCTTCCTGAGCCTCCTGGAGCCTCCTGGGCCCTGCGGGGAGGACCAGTTTGGCCCGGACTGCAAGTTCTCCATTATTTGGAGAAGCGCCATCTTCGTGTATCTCTGCCTAGGGCCCAGAGGAAGAAGTCAGAGGCAGGGTTCCTCACTTCTGACCTGGGTTCCTCTGGCGGCCTCCACTGTCCATCAGTGTCCCTGCCCACCACCCCCCGCCCACTCCCCCGCCGCAGAGCCTGGCAGGCCTGGGAGAGCCCAGGCATGAAGCGGCCGTGACCACGGCAGGATGGTCTTCCTTCCACATGTGGGGGCCCTCTGTACCCCCACCCACCCCAGCAGAGACAGATGGCCCAAGGAAGCACGTGGTGCAGCAGCCCTGGCACATTCCATAGGGTAGTCCTAAGAAAACCCAGACACACATGAATTTGAGAAATTAAATAGGGCCAACCCACCACACCCACTGAGTCCATCCAGGTCACTAAAGGACCCAGCCCAGCAATGTTCCCGGGCCCGCACAGGGTTGGCACTCCAGGCTGGGCGAGTTGCCCCCTCCTTGCCCCAGAATCCCCAAGGACACCTCCCTGCCACTCCAGTGGCTCCCCTGGTCATGAGGGATTTTGCCAGAAAGCAAGATCTTGGAGGGCAAAGCTGCGATCCAGCCGGCCCTTCTCCCTGGGGCGGGGCGGGGCATGGGGCAGGGAGTCACTCAGCCCTCACCAGCAGAGGAAGGGCCCCAGGCTGCTTGGCCAGGGCTGCAGGAGGCTGTGGGGGCCATCTGCCCATGCTGTGCCACATCTCCCAGCTGCCCCAGCACAAGGCTGGCCCTTGGATGACAAATGAGATCAGGCCGCCTGCACCGTGAGTTTCCAGAGCCCAGGTCGGCCCCGTGACCCCCTCCTGTCAGGGCCAAGGGGGCTCTGCGAGCAGGGTGATCCTGGTCCAGCACCAGGGTGCCTGCCTATCAGCTGGCATTAGCAGGATGCCTTTTAGCCTGGTGCTTTCTGCTCCTCGCCTTCTTGCCAAAGGACAACTAGCCTTGGTGATGACTTGTTTGTTGTAAGGGGACCTAAAGGAGAAGATGGACAGGGCGCCCTGAGTAGGAGATCCTTGGGGGAGCCTGCACCTGGCAGGGAGAATGGGCAAAGCCTTCCTGGAGGAGTGGCATTTAGGCGGTGTCTTGGGCACACCTTGGGCAGGAGAAGGCACTCTGGCTGGCCTTCCTGAACCAGGCTCTGCGGGGCACTAGGCCCGAGAGGGGTGAGCGCGGAGGCAGGATGGGCTCAAGGCAGCACGGGCAGCGCCGGTGGGACAGGGAGGACGCTCTGGCTGAGGGCCCCCACCTGCCCCAGGGCGGCAGAAAGTGAAAGGTGCTCTGGAGCAGAGGCACCGTGGACCGGCCTCCCTGGCTTCAGAGAGGACACGAGCCACGAGCCGGCACGCAGGCCAGGGCTGACCGTGGGCCCCGGGCTGGTGGGACGGGCACCCCATGGTCATGTCTTAGTGACAGACCCCATGACCTCATCCCCCAGCCTTGGGTCCTGGCGAGAAACGTGCAAAGCAGCCACCCCACTAAGGGTTTCTCCTCTCAGCGGCACAGCCCAGGAGCAGACCGCCCCCAGCCAGCGCCCCCGCCAGCCTCCGGCCCCACCCCAAGGTTGGCTCCATCCCCAGAGCAGGGACAGGGACCCTGCGGCCAGGGCGGCCTTGCCTTCCAAGGGCACCAACGCAGCCACCCGCACCTGAGTGTGTGGAGAGTGCCCGGGTCGGGGGTGTAGAAACAACACGTCCTAGCCTGTACAACAGGCAGAGTCCCACCTAGGGGACAGCCTGACTGACCATACGTCATGGACTTTGGCCTGCAGCAGCATGAGGAGGCCGAGGCCCCCACAGCCAACACCAAGTGACCCTGGATGTGGGGGAAGCACGCAGACCCATGTGGCTGTCTCAAGGGGCTGAGCCCCGAACCTGCCCCAGCCTGGTGTCTGGCTACCCTGAGGACAGGGCTATTCAGGGACCTGAACACACTGGAGCAGGTGACTCCCTCGGCCTCCCCCACCCGGCAGAGCCCGGCTCGAGCCCCTTCTCCCTTGGCTGTGCCCGTCTAAGCCACAGCCTGGCGTGCATGCGGTTGTCCTGGGTCTAGGACTGCCCAGGTAGGCGTGCTCTTCTTGGGTCCCTGTGAACAGTGACTTCAGTTCTCCTGGTGGGAGGGGGGTGTTCAGTCCCATACCAGACATCACCTTGGCCTGCAGTGGAAACCAGTGGAAAGACTGTGTTGCGCTATCTCTGAAGTCCCACGTGGCCAGAGGAATGATCACCTGTCCCAGGAACACCCTCCGGGTGAGTGTACCCAGGTGCCACACAGAGACCTGCAGCTGCCGGGTCACGAGCTGGGCAGGCTCCACCTGGTACTGCAGAGGCAGGACACAGACAGTCAGCCTGGGCTACCGGGCCTCAGCTCCCAGGCCACAGCTCCCAGACCCACAGCTCCCAGGCCTATAGCTGTTAGACCACAGGTCCCAGGTGTCAGGTCCCAGACCCACAGCTCCCAGACCCACACCTCCCAGGCCTACAGCTGTCAGACCACAGATCCCAGTTCTCAGCTCCCAGGCCCACAGCTCCTAGGCCCCAGCTCCCAGACCCAAACCTCCCAGGCCCACAGGGGCCTCCTTCCCGCAGGTTGCAGCCAGGGTCCTGGGGTGGTCAGAGTGGGCCAGGCAGCTTGGAGCTGGGGGTCTCTGCCTTCTCAAGCATGGAACTGCCCCCTCAGCCCCGGGGCCTGGTACCCAGCCTGGGGAAAGGCTGCGCAGCCGCTGAGCCGTCCCTCAGGAAAATTTCTCTTGCGAGACAAGGATGAAAGTCCTTGTTCAGCCCAAGACTCTGGAAATCAGGCAGAGACCTGTTCCAACTCAGGACCTGAACTTGCATCTGGCCAGCACTGCCCCAGCCAGGGTTGTTCCAAAACACTGAAAATGAATTTTATTTTTTAAAAGTGCAAAGCATGAGCTTTTGGTGCTGGCATTTGCCTGGATCAACAGCACCTGTGGCAGGCGTGCCAGCCTGTGTGGCGCTCCACAGCCCACACGCAGTTCCTTCAGCATCAGCCCTAAGTTCTAAGTACTCTGTGAGCCTCAGTTTCCCTGTTGGTAAGTGAGGATTCTCACACCTGGCTCACAGGGAGTATAAAGCGCTTGGCCAGAGCAGGGGCACAGCAAACAATGGCTATTATTATTTAACAAGTGGCACTTTTGTGCCAGCTGCTCAGATGGCCCTTGGCTGGGAGCTCACAAACGTCCCTCTTCTCCAAGGAAGGCAAACAAGGGCTTGACGCCTGGGATCCCTGTGCTCCCCGGCCTTGACCGGGCACATGTGCACATGTCCAGAGAGTTCTTCCAGCTCAGGGCCTCCCACACCTCACTGTCTTCATGTGCCAGCCTCACCTCCCACTCGCCACCCTGAATCCCAGCAGTCCCTCCTTATCTCTGCCCTAAATGACAAGTCCTAGTTCACCAAAGAAAGTGAAAACCCAAAGAATTCCTCTATAAAATTTTTTCATAAAATGACTTTTTTTCCCCATAAAATATGAAGATACCTGGGTTTGCCAGATATTACAATAAAGGAGCCCATGTACAAAGGTGGCAACACAGTAGTTGAACTTAGCTGGAGAATGCCTCTCTGATTGTCATAAAAATACAACAGGACAAAGCACATCAAAAACTGAGAGGCAGCGAGGTTCCCTTCCACCACTTCCTCAGAAATCATTAATCAAAAGCCACTCTCAAGTTCAGCAAATGCTGTACTTTTCCTGTACAAACGCTGACATTTTTTTTCTACCAGCTTGCCACTGATTGACAGAGTCCCAAGGAAATGTCTCGTTGTCTGCAACTTATTTAACTGACTCAAGAGTTTGGGAGAGCCGTGCGCTGGACCCTGGCCCGTGTGCCTGGCCTGGGCCGGGAGACTAAGCACAGGAGTGTGGGTCCAGCAAGTACCTTCAAGGTCTCCTGAAAGGTCGGGTCCAGGGTGTTCCTGTGGACTCTGGTCTTGCGTTTTCCCTGGGAGGATCTGTCCGGCAGCAGGTAGGTCTTCACGTACCTAGAGGCCAAAGGCAGACAGGACCAGCTGAAAGCCGGGGTACCCAAAGGGCACAGGAAGCACAGACCCCCACATCAGCATTTTCTTTGCTCTGCTCCCTGCTGAATTTGGGATTGAGAGAAAGGGCTTAGTGGCCACCCTGACGGTGACAAGGACAGTGCTGGGCACACAGCTTTTGGTTTGCATAGTCTTTGGCTGTAATTCTCTGGAATGTTCCTGGGGGTGTGAAGCTCGCTGGCTTTCCTCGTGCCCTGTTCCTAGAATCTACGTCGCTCATCACCTGCCATTTGGTGGTTTGGCAGCCTCTTGGGGCTCCCTGGGGGGCAGGTTCTCTAAGACCATGTGCCAGCTTGTCTCCATCCACCTATAACTTCACTCTACCCACCAAAATAAACAAATAAATAAAAGTGGAAATGGGAAGTGCATGCCTCACACTTTGCTCTCCCCTGCCTCACACTGTCTTGACCACTGAGGACCGGCATTCACGGCTGCTCTCCGCTGAGTCTGGGAGCGCAGCTGGCAGAGGCTCTCTCCATCCGCACCCTGCCCACCCCCCAGAATCCTGCTCTAGGCTGACCCCTCCCCTCAGGTCCCAACACGGTCCCTTTGGGCTCCTCCGGCAGCTTTACTGATGGCAGGAAATTTCTGTGTACAGTTTAAGGGAAGGACCACATCTTGCCTTTTTTCCTATATGGAAAACTTCTGGCCCACTGTTTTGATGACCAGCTGGGAAAAGGAATGGATTGTTGGTCTAACCAAACTCTCCTCTGCTCTGGAACCCGCAGGAGCTCCTCTGCGCCAGACAAACCAAGCGGGCTGCTGCAGCCCTTACGGTTCCCCTGTGCAGGGCCTCTCCCGTCCTTGCAGTCTGAGATTCTATCAGACCCTGACCTATACCTTAGGCTCCAGGGAAACTGCAAGAGTCATTGTTTTAAATATTCCCCTGACTTTCCCCACATGAGGCTTTTCTCATAGTTGTGTTGGAACTGCTTTCTCTACACGACTCCCGTAAGTAGAAGTCATAACCCTGTCCATTCTGCAGGTGCATCTTGAAGCCCATCAGATGCATTCATTCAGTCCTTGACCGCCTATGCATCTGGTCCTCTTCTGTAGCCCTCAACAGGACTCTAGCGATGTGGTTGAGAGCATGGCTGTGTGAAGTCTGACTCCACCGTTTATGTGCTTTGACCTTGGGTAAATTACTCGACTTCTCCATACCTCGGTTTCCCCACTGCAACACGGGGATAATAACGGTACCTGCTTCAGAGGACTGTTGTGGTGGTTCCCTGAATTAGCCTATATTATACCTTCATAACAGAATCTAGAACATAATAAACATTCAACAGACACTATTCTAAGCAAGTGAGGTGGGGGTGCACACAGAAGTAGGCCTTACAATCCACCTGGGGATTTTAAAATCCACGTGAGGTTATAGCCAAATCCTAAGCTACACATATGCAAGACAAGATTTCATGAGGTCTGTGTGAGGATAGCTACTGGGGGTGAGCTCCTGGGGGTGCTGAGCTGAACAAAAAATCTGGGCACTGAATTGTGCTGGGCAAAACTGGAGTTCAGGTGTCACTGGCTTAGAACTCTGGAATCTATTGAAGGCTTGCAACTTCCAGGGGAAGGCTGGGTGGTAAATTATACATTACTCTTGGACTTCTACTTTCCCACAAAAACTTTAGAATCAATATCTCTATCATCTCATGTCACGACTTAGAGGAACTTACGGGTTGCACTTTTTCTTCTTTTCTTCTCCGTAGGCAAGGTTCTTACAGGCCCTGATGCATACTTCTAAAGAATGGATTTTGAAGCTATAACGAATGGCAAATTCTATTTCTCCAGTGACATTAGTATTGTCAAAATTGCCCATCTCCGTACAAGTGCTGTTAATGCTAATTAAACTTCCCTGAAATCAAGAATGACAAATATAATAAATTACTTTACAGTTAATCAACTTTCTTACAGTTCTGGTTTTAAGACATCAAATATATTAAAATTTATACAGAGCATGCATCCTAACTAACATTCACTGAAAATGCATCATCTTATATTTTGCCATAATAACTTGCCACATATTCTGTCCAAGGGGATGGGGAAAATCCTCAGAAGAACCCATCTTACCCAGGTACAATCTTTGCCTAGCAGTAAAAGTTACACAACCTCATTCTTTAACACAAGTGAGTTGGATGACATGGATTATCTCTTGTGCAATTCTGCAAAGATAAGTCTCAGGACAGATGATGTCCATGGTGGGAACAGCCATGTGCAAAGCAGCGGGGGCCAAACACTCATGACTGAGAATCAGATGAGCTGGATTCAAATGCTGGTCCAGCTCCTCATTTGATTTGTCAAAGTCTACATGGAAAAACACAATGTCTCATCGGGTTATGGTGAGGAGTAAATGGAATAAAGTATCTAAGGTATGCAGTCAAAAACAACACAGAATTTGTTATTTACATCATTATGGGCACCTAAATGAAAAATAAAACTGCCATCACGTGAGGCAACTGGATCACATGATAAGTAGCAGGGAGTGTCTACCCCCCAAAAAACAAACAAACTGCCTTTTCACTATTAAATTTGCTAAATATTTGCTGTCACCTGCATACAACCAATCTGAGTGCTGACTCCACAGAAATCAGGAAGCCCAAGTGGTTTCCACTTCTCCTTCCCAACTAGGTCCTCCACATGGTCAAACATCCTGAGTAGGGACAAACAAAGAAGGAAGCCTGGGGCTTTCTTTCTCATGGGAGGGAGGTCAAAACCTAACAAACCAGCAGCTTGCCAGAGGGACCCGGGCCTGAGCTGACCAATGCCACGAACACCACCAACTCCACCCAGCCACCGGCTCTGGGCAATGTCATCTGCTCCAGCGGTTAGACCGGCAACAATTCTTCAGAGGGAGCGGTGGGACGGTGTGAATCAGTGAGTACAGACAAGTGCAGATAGAAGGTAATGGGGGGTGCTTGGTGGAAGGTGTGCGCTGCCAGAGAGGCAAAAGGGGGACCATCAGATGGCATTCCCCAGGGGGCTTCGCTTGAGGCTGTCAGCCTAAACTGTACTCCAACTTTCCTGCCAGGCGCAGGGAGAAAACTGAATTAAACTGTTTCAAGGCATCAGGGAGCTACCAGGACAGCCAGGACCAAGGGTCCAAACCTAAAGAGAAGAGAGCTCAGTGTGGTGATCTCTGCACGTGTGTCCCCTGGGCATCTATCTGCACACGGCAAGCAGCACGCGCTGGAGGTGTGAGAAGCCGAGCTGCACACCCCAGCCGCAAGGCTCGGGGGCCAGCTGGAGTCCCCAGCCATCTGACCGGGTGGGGAAACGACGCCAGTGGCAAGCCTGCGGGGGCCTGCCAAGTTCCCAGGGCTTGGGGACGCCCTGGGGGTAACACTCAAGGTAGCTGCTGACCCGGAAGGTGTCACCGAGAGGCGAGAAACTCGGACAAGCTTTCAGCAGTTTCATCTGACTAGACACAGAAACTTGGAGATCAGGCCCGCCCAGAAGAGGGGCTTGGCTACCTCCACACTTCCAGCTGGGGCCCCTCCGGGCTTTCCTGGGGCAGAGGAACGGACGTGTCCCCACGGCTTAGGATGCGCGGCCAGCAGACGGTCCAGCCAGGGAGGATGCAGTCACCTGTCCCGCTTGACCGGAGCCGCGATGAGCAGGGCCTCTGCGGGTTTCTGTCCCCCGGCACCAGCCAAGGGCCTCATGTGAACCCCCAATAAATAGGCATGACAAGAATAAAGCGAGCCCTTGAAGTGCCTTGATTTAAAGAGTCCTGTGTAAACGCTATGGCGGAGGCTGAGCTGTGCCACCGTGTGACCACAGGGGCAGCGCAGCTGGAGTGGGAGGCCTTGGGGGGGGGCCCTGACCTGGGGTGAGGACGTCAGCCACATCACCTACCACAGATTCCAGAGCAAGAATATTTTAAAGTAAAACAACACGTAGGCACATCACAGTAAAGTTGCTGAAAATCAGACAAAGAGAGAAGTGTTAAAGGCAGAGGGAAAAATGATGACCTTCAACGGAGGAAATAGTAATTGCAGGAGAAGATGGGACCCAGTGGCCCTGGGCACAGGGCTTCTCCACCTGGGAGGGGAGAGGGGAGCAGGCTGGGTATAGGCCCGGGGTTAATTCTGACATCTGAGGGATTAGGGAATTCCAAGCAGATTCTATTTTATTTTTGTAAAGTAGGGAGGGAGATTTATTGAGAATGTGGGAGGGGGGCAGGGCATAGGGCCTGGAAAGAGGTTTGAAAAGGAGTGAAGTGGTGGTTGTGAGAGCAGGAAACTGAGTTAGCCGGCAACACGGCAGGCTCGGGACTGGCACTGCTGGGGCACGCTTGGGTGTTGGTGACGCAGCAGGCACACCTAATCCCCATCCCCTCACCCTGGCACCAGGCTGCCCTCTGTGTGCACAGCCGTCCAGGTGCAGGTACGGAGGAGGTTCTACCTGGCTCCTCCAGCTCGGTGCCCAGGAAGCACTGCAATTACTCACCCTTCATTTTATAGGGAGACAAGGCAGAGGGCAGGGCAGGTTGGGACCCAACCAGAAACTGCACAGTGAATCAGCAGCAGAGCTCCAGTGGACCTGGGCTCCTAACTCCTTGGGCCATCAGGTGATGGAAGTGTCTCTGAGTAATTCAGCTGCTATGCCTGCTTAGCGGGACCAAGCATAGCCTCAGATAATGAACAGATAGCAGAGCACGCCCTCTGCTCAACTGCATTCCTTCTGTTAATTTATGCCTCTACGGCCGGCCGTTGCCCAGGGAGGGCTTTCTGGTTCTATTTCCCTGTAACCGGAACAGAATCTTTGAGCCAGTTGAAACTTTGAGCAGCAAAGGGAGTCAGTCAAGAGGGCCTGGCCCACAAGAGCAGTAAGAACTCAGCCTAACTTTTCTTAGAACCATTGGTGCTATCTGGGTTTGAAAGAAAAGTAAATCCGAGCAGAAGCAAAAGAGGACTATGGAGGCAGGCAGGCAGCACCGGATGACCTTCTCTGAAGGTCATGAGTTATCTATTGTGGCTGCAAGACAGACCTGACGCCCTTTTATTTAACAAAAGGGAGGAGTCAACTGAAACAAGAGCTATACTCAAAAAACAAGTCAGTCCTGCTCTCCAGAGCCTGCCGAGCACATCACTGCGGAGCGGTCGGCAGCCAGGCAGCCTTCCCGCTTGGGGCTCCGACACTTGGTGGCTGTGTGATCTCGAGCAGTTTCCTTACTGTCTGTAGCTTCAGGTTCCTCATCTGTAGAATGGGGCCTATCTCATGGGATTAGTATAGACTCAGTCAGTTACTGCGTGAAAAAGGACTGAGAACTGTACCTATGTGTAGTCAGCACAAGTTTATTAACCTTTTGAAAATGCCACACAATGTGGCTGCCCTATGTAAGTTGAGCAAATCATTTCCTTTGCTTTGCTTTCTCCTTTGTAAAAAAAATTGTGACATATATATTAAAAAGTACATATAATAGATAGGTACAGTTCAATAATAATTTTAAAATGAATGTCCCTGTACCCACCACTTGGCTAAAGTAACATAATCAGGGCCTCAGAAGTACGTCTGGCTTCCTTATCCAACTCCCATTCCTGTCCCTAAGAAAATGCTGTTTCACAATTTTCTGTTAATTAGCCTTATTTTTCGTTATGATTGTATTGTGTATGTATATATCCCCCAAACATATATTGGTTAGTTTTGCCTGACTTGGGAATTTATGTAATTAGAAATAATACTGTGTACTCAACACCCAAAATGCAAATAACCCGATTAAAAAATAGGTGGGGGATCCGAACAGACACTTCTCCAAAAAAGAAATTCAGATGGTCAACAGGCATTTGAACCATTGAAAAGATGCTCCACATCACTACTCATCAGGGAAATGCAAATTAAAACCACAATGAGATATCACCTCATGCCAGTTAGGATGGCCAACACCCAAAAAGGAACAACAAATGCTGGTGAGGATGTGGAGAAAGGAGAACCCTCCTACACTGTGGGTGGGAATATAAACTAGTTCAAGCCATTGTGGAAAGCAGCATGGAGGTTCCTCAAACAACTAAATATAGACATACCATTTGACCCAGGAATCCCACTCCTAGGAATTTACCCAAAGAAAACAAGATCCCAGATTCAAAAATACATACGAACCCCTATGTTTATCGCAGCACTATTTACAGTAGCCAAGATATGGAAGCAACCTAAATGTCCATCAGTAGATGAATGAATAAAGAAGATGTGGTACATATACACAATGGAATGTTATTCAGCCATAATAAAGAAACATATCCTACCATTTGTAACAACATGGATGGAGCTGGAGGGTATTATGCTCAGTGAAATAAGTCAGGTGGAGAAAGACAAGTACCAAATGATTCACTCATTTGTGGAGTACAACAATGAAGCAAAAGTGAAGGAACAAAACAGCAGCAGACTCACAGACTCCAAGGAGGGAATAGTGGCTACTGTGGAGGGCTGGTGGGGAGGAAGGGAGAAGGGGATTAAGGAACATTATGATTAGCACACGTAATGTGGGGGGGTCACGGGGAAGGCAGTACAGCACAGAGAAGACAAGTAGTGACTATAGCATCTTACTATGCTGATGGACAGTGACTACAATGGGGTGGAGGCGGGGCTTGATAATATGGGTGAATGTAGTAACCACAAAGTTACTCATGTGAAACCTTTATAAGATTGTATATCAATGATACCTTAATGAAAAAAAAACAATACTGTGTACATTATCTCTAACTTTCACTCTATTGATACTGTGTTTTTAAATTCACCTCTGTGGTTGGAGTGGTTCATTCATTGTCACTCCCAGGCAGTATTTGAATCATTGAACAGGCCATAATATACTCACTCTTTTTCCACTGTTTTCAAATAAAAGGACACTAATATAAGGAGATAGCTAAATATAGTACACTTTAAAAAATCAGGGCAACTAGAAAAGAGCAGAAATAAAGACAAGGAAGGCTTCCCCAACCCCTGGTGAGCTCTGTGTGATGGGTGGGGCGAATGTTCTGAGCCAGCGCCTACATAGAAGTGGCCCACATGACACAACAATGTCCCACGTCTCAAATTTATTTTTAAAGAAAACAACTGGGAAGTTGGGTTTTTACTTCTTCTATGATTGAAACTCTGCCCTCTCTCAAACTTAAGCCGACCTCCTGTCTACCCACCCTTAAGGGGCGCCACTGTGTATGTCACGCGGCCACTTCTGCCAATCACGGCTTCACTGAGAAAATGTAAACTGCATGAAAACATTGACATAAATACATTCCTTTTTAGATACTTTTTAAAACAGAAGTGCAAACAAAATTGAAAATCAGACAGGAACTCTTGATTTTTTTCCTACCAGGGAAATCCTAAAACGTTAACCATATATTTCTTCATCCCATCAAGTTCTAACTCCAATGATTAGCTTTTTCCTTTTCTTTCTTTTTTTTAACAAACTGGGTTTTTTCTTCTCCCAAAACATTATATGTTTATGGAGAAAATATATAAAACACAGATGAGCCAAAAAGAGAAATTTAAGAAAAAAAGCACAATCCTACCATTCTGGGATCAACATTTTCATATAATTATATGCAACTATGAAACTACTTTGTAACCCTATATTTTGTTTATTGGTACATATTTTCCATATTAATATTTTTCAGCCACATTATTTTTAATAGCTGCAAGGTATTCCTCTGAATAAATATACCATAATTTAACCACTGCCCTAGTTTGGACATTTAGGTTGTTTCCAATTTTTTGAAATGAAAACAATTATAAATAATGCTCCCTGGACATCTAAGAGCACATGGTTTTGGCAACATTCACCATAATTTTTTAAGACTATTTCCTGTAACTGAAACTGCTGGATTGGAGAGAACAAGCATTTTAAAGGCCTTCAATATGTACTGCTCACGGACCTCTGGGTCACCCAGTAGTTTATAAGAAGCCTACTTGCTCCACATTCTTGCCAACATCAAGCTGTATTTCATTGTAAAATTTGCTAACATGGCTCCCAAATAGTGCTGGGTTTTAAGTTTGCACTGATTTAAGAGTGCAAACAGGGAGGGGTGAGTGTTTCCCCTATTTACTGCCCACTTGTATTTCTCCTTTTGTAATAAGTCGAGGTTGAATAAGCTTTTTTCCGGCCCCAACTTCCTGCTTCTCAGAGAATGTCAAAGTCTCTCAGAAAAGCAGGCAACCTCTTGGGCAAGAAGCCATATCAGTGTTTGCTTTGCGGGAGCTTAGTTTCCTCAAACAAACACTGCTTCTATCTAAGGGGAACAGTAGGATTAAACGTGTACCTCAAAGGCATGATGATGAATTTTAAGGACACAAATCAGAGGAGACTTCAGAAGAGAGGGGAAATACAGACCCTTGGTCAGCGTGCACCGGGCTTTGGGGAGCTATCCTACGAAGCGCCTAAGATGCACACACTCCAGGCAATGTCACCAGCATCATTTCCCCAGCTCTTACAGGCTTTCTAGGTGTGGATCAGCCCCGGGGCAGTGAAGCTAAGCCAGGGACAGGAGTCGGGAAAACCACCAGGCTAAGAGTTTGGCAAATCCTGTGAGATAGAACAGAAGCCTGAGCTTGGACTCACGGGGCCCCTGGGGGTTGGATCAGAGTTCTGATGCTGCAGTTACCACATGACCTTGGCCAGCTGCTTAGCCTCTGTGAGCCTCACTTTTCCTATGCGTGAAATGGGACAACAGCACCCTCCCGACAAGATGGCCGTGAGAATGGCTGGGAGGTGAGGCGCCCGCTCAGGAGTCGGCACACAGTAGGCTCTGATGTAAGGATTCATCCAGTCGGTCCACAAGCATTTACTGAGAGCGCTTGGAGTGTCAGGAGCAGTTCTGGGCACTCAGGAATGACGAAAGACAACAAACAACAGATAAACCAGTTATATCGCTGCAGAAGGCGACAAGGACGTGGACAGCAGAGCTGGCCAGGGTGACACAGGGCAGACAGGGCAGGGCGGGCCTCCCCGGGAAGGTGACCATGGAGCAGACTGGAAGGAAGGGACTGAAGGGGCTTGGGGCCACCAGGAGAGGGGCAGCTGCAGAGACCCCACAGCAGGTGTGTTGTCCCATTTCAGAGACCCAGAGGGCCCTGTCACTGAGCCTGGGAAAGGTGGGGACAGGTTGTGTAGGGCCTTCTGGGCCACTGCAGGGCAGCCCTCAGCCTGTGTCCCTGCCCCTGTGCTGGTTTTGGGCAAAGACATGCCTCCAGCCCTTGATGGAACTTAAGAATCCAGTCTTGGGGACCCCTGGGCAGTTCTGGGAAAGTTGACCCTCGGTCTCCCTGGGAAGTTTAGCCTCTGCCTCCCAGATCAGCCTTAAAAAGGCTCAAGTTGACTAGAGCCCTGGTGTCCTTTGGTCACCTGGGGCAGGGGCAATCCTTCCAGTGAGTCTTGGAAAAGCCTCTGAGGCCACCCTTACGCTCTCCCTGTCATCACATCACAGGGTTCAGCCTGGGAGAGAATATTCTGGAGCCTCGCCTGCCTGCCTCTCCTCAGGGAAGTGTTTCCTCAGGTCTTTCACCTTCCAGAGCTGTTCTCAAGTACAAATAACACCTAGTCATGAAGAAAGGTGCTAAGCCACCCTCAAACCCAAGCTTTCTGAGACATCCTGGCAAGGCCATCAACGCTGTCATCCTTAGTGTTTTGATGGGAGGCGCACCCGTCCAGGAGAGGCCAAGCCTCAGCACTCGGAAATCTTACAAACCGCTGTGGGCCTCGGGGCAGGTGGCTGCATTTAGCAGGGACTTGAGAGGGGCCCAGAGGGGACTCATGTGAACCAATTTGTGTTTGAGAGATGAATCCTCGCCCTGACCAATGTGGGTGCACAGACCTGTTTGGGAACTGGATGAAAACATGAACCTTCTTCCCAGGAAAATGCACAGAGGCACGTGACTCCACAATCTGGATACTGTCCCGGAGAACTAACAGCCGGTGCCACTTACTGCCCAATTTAGTGTCCACAGCAGTGCTGTCCAGAGAAATATAATGGGAGCCAAATATGTAATTTGAAATTCTCCAGGAGCCACAGCTTTTAAAAAGGCAGAATTGATTTTAATAGTGTATTTTATTAATGTAATATATCCAAAATACTATCATTTCAACAAATGTCAAAATAAAAATTAAGATGATTTACATTTTTGTGTACCTAAGTCTTCAAATTCAGTGTGTATTTTAGTTTAGTTTATTTAGATAGAATTGCCATTACATTAGTTTTAGGTCAGTGTGCTTTTTATACTCAAAGGATATCTCAATTCTGATCAGTCATATTTCAAGCGCACAGTCACCACAGTGATGACTGGCTACCGTATTGGACAGCACAGACCCAGGCTGTTAGAGAACCCTTAACAAACGGCATACTTTCCTCAAGTCTGAAATTGTTAGGGTTCGACCCACAGTCCTCAAACTTCACTGTGCATACGAATCTCCTGGGGCCCTTGTTAAACTGCAGATGGTGACCCCGCAGGCCTGGGTGGGGCCGGAGACTCTGGTTTCTGACAAGCTCCCAGGTGACGCCAGTGTTACGGGGTCCAGATTTGAGTAGTGAGGGTGTGGAGGAGCGGTGTCTCTGAGGGAGGCAGGACCACCCACAGGAGCCACAGAAGGGATGGGTGGGCCACTGGCATCTAGTGGACGGAATCAGCGATGCTGGCTATTCCTCAGTGCACAGGCCTGGCCTGCTTCCGCCATGACGGTGTAATGTTCCAGGGCACACTGATGCAGATGGGGGAAAGTTCATCACTTCTGAAGTGAACACCGTTTTCCATAGAAATATGGCCACCCCAAGGCACAGAGAGGCTGAAGGACATGCTCTGTCTGGGTCATGGGTCACACCTTTTACTACAAGAGCTGGAAATGAACAAATTGGTTTCCAGAAACTGGGTTCTGGAACATCTAAGTACATGTGGGATTTGTGCGTTCTTTGATTCTCAAAGCAATCGAAATGCAAAGAGCTGTGATACCCATTTCCTGAAGTTTAAAGAGTTTTTATGATTGCCTAAGATGGTTTAATAAGGTAAAGAACTGTGGCTGCCACTGAGGCCTCATGCGCCCTCACTCAAGGCTCTGTTATACCATGCATCATAATTTAAGGCATAAAGTAGCATTCATTTAATGTTTTTGAATAAACAAATGGGTGAATTAAAGGCCTGCCTATAAACAAAGACTACATGTAAAACACATAAAGCAGTCCTGAAAAAGAACAAAGTTGGAGGGCTAAAACTACTCAACTTCAAGGCTTCCTAAAAGAGTACAGAGTGGTCCTGGCATTAGGGTAGACGGAGATCCGTGGAGCAGAATGGAGAACCCACAAACAGCTCAGATCAAATAATCACACTCACAGTTACTTGATCTCCAACAAAGATACCAAAGTCAATGGGGAAACAAAAGTGTTGTTTTGACAGAGGACGCAGGAATAACCATGTTTCCGTGTAGAAGAAAACAAACCTCTACCTTACACCCTTCACAAAGACAAAGCACAGACCTACACATAAAAACTAAACTCTTATAAAGCTTCTAGAAGAAAACAGGAGAATATCTTCATGACTTGTGGCTAGACACCACACAGAGATAACCATAAATAAAATATCTGATAAACCAGACTTCATTAAAATGAAAACTTCTCATCCAAAACACCATTATTTTCATTATTAATTACTTTTTATATATGAAAATGTTCACAGTAAGATGTAAAAGAAAAAAACCACCATCAAAGTAGAGCCAGATGATTCCCCAGTTCCCAGCTAAAGTAAAATTTACCTCCAAGTTCTAGTGTCATGTTCCAGTTCATCCCACAAGACAACACCTTGCTCCCGCCCCTGCCTACAGTCCAGTATGACATCACACAACCACCACACATCAGGTATTAGATGGGACTCACGTGTCTCAAGCCTCCTGAGAATAAAGTGGTGGATGTTGGGCTGGATAAGGGATCCTCTCGCTTCGAAACAGGGTTAGTAGGGTGTTTGGGGCTCTCTCGATTGACAGGTTTCATAATATCTGGTGTGCTGGCCTTCTGGAAGAGGAAAGACACAGTAATATAGTCTGCATCCCAGTGTGATTTTTGTTTAAATGTGGTTGAGTTCAGTTAGCATGGCTTGCATCTGTTACCTGATGGCACTAACATGCATACTCCTGGGTGCTGAGTGAGTGTACAATCCTGATTGGATAAATGCATGCACACCCCACAACCCCCACAGAGCCCCAAGGCTCACGTCATCAAGCTTAGAGTATTCATGAACAGTGATGGGTGGGTTACTTATAGATTAGTAAGAGTCTTAAAGAAAGTTGACTCTTTCTCACATTGAAGAGCCTCACATTTTTGGTCTTAATAGTGATCCTGGCATTTAATCACATGAAATATAATATTTATCCTGTCAGTGTTCTGGCTCTATTATGTTCATAAAAAAGGAAATATCAAAATATGTCTCTAAACCTTATAACAGTATTTTGTTAATTATTGGTAGTTCTACAGTGTATAACAGCTTTGTTTTCCAATGTGATAGCCACTAGCCACATGTGGCTGCTTAAATTTAAATTACAACTAATTAAAATTAAATTAAATTAAAATTCAGCTCCTCAATTGTACTAGACACATTTCAAGTGCACATGTGGCAATGGTTGGAAAACTCTACCAGACAGCACGGTACAGAGCCATAAACCAACATGCAAAGGGCGAAGACCTCCTCTTGGGTAAAAATAAGAGTGTCTCTAGATTTTCAGTTTTGATGCTGGGTTGGAAGCAGAGCTCAGAAATATAACTGTTGCCCCATAGTCACAATTCTCAGGGATATAAAACAGAATATTAGAGAACAAAGTAAAGAAATGATTCCCTCCAAGAGACGGTTTATGCTCTGACTCTCCAGAATGTCAGCTCCCTTCCATTAGACATTTGTTAGGCAACACTACACTTGATGGACCTCCCTGAGCCCAGGGGGCAGGAAGAGAAAGGGAAGTGGCAGACATCCAGTGCCCATCTTCCAAGGCTGACTAGCCAGGAGGAGTAGACGTGCCAGTGCAATGGAGGCTGGCGCTAAGCCCACGGCAAAGAGGGGAGGCAGACAGGCTCAGGACGCTGAAGGCTGGAGAGGGTAAGACCCAAAGGCAAGGCATTCAGGTGAGGGGCGGTCACGATGGTCAAGCACGGAACACGTTCCCAGGCCTGCTAGAGAGCGGTGCGACTGCAGAGGCTCGAGAGACCAGGCAGAGACCTGGACACAAGATCACACGCCTCTGGACCTGTGCCCAGAGGACAGGTAGCTTGAGACACTACCAGGTGTGCAAAGGGCGTCTGCAGGAGAGGAGACAGAGGGCTGGCAGAGCCAGAGACCCAAGGGGAAGACTTCAGAAATGAGGGGTGTTCAAAGGAGGAAAGAGTATGAGAAAAGCCTCACCTAAAACTAAAGAAATAACATTTTAATAAATTTCCTACAAAATTTGCAAAAGTAAGAAGTAGACAGTTTAGAGCTGGCAAGAGTTACTCCTGGAAAATGGGCTACTCCATGTCCAGTGGTTGTGTAAACTGAGTAAGCCTCGGAGGAGGGCGACATGGCAGCATGAATTAAAAGCCCTAAAAAGTAGCTGTTTAAAATGACAGTATGTATTTATTGACATGGGAGGAATTAAAACACACGTTAGAGTTCCTTTAGAAAGCAAACTACAGAAGTGGGTGTGTGGCACGGTGCCGTATTTGTGCACTGGGTGCACATGCACCCCATGGGTTAACAATATGTGTGTTTTCCATTAGTGGGTAGCCATAAATTTTATGACACAGAAAAGCACTAAAAAGTCACCTTCTAACTAAAGAAAAGAATGGAAGTCGGGTCCAGTGTCAGACGGGACAAAGTGAAGGAAGAGGCTGACAGTTGTGAACCAGCCACCACAGTGATGAGTCAGGGACCCCGGAACAGCGTCACACTGCTGAGGGGGGATTGCAGACTGTGAGGGAGTCAGGAACAGACAGGGGGCAGGGCAGAGGGGATGAGAACGGTGACAACAAGAGCCGAGGGTGTTTTCACGGATTTGGGCTGTGACCAAGAAACAGCAGAGCAGCTTGACAGAGACTTCCTCGAAAGAGGTTGTTTTTCATATTTGAAGGTGAGGAGAAGTGGTCACAGAGGGAAAAGCTGCAAGGTGACGGTGCCAGGTCCGAGAGGAGAGCAGAGGAAGGAGCCCCGCAGGCTCCACGCTGTGAAGGAACATTCATTTTGTGGACAGGAGGGAAGTATGGCTGACAATCCAGAGGAAGGTAGCAAAGGGCCCTCCTACCTCAGGCCTCCAGAATATAAATGTTTTGAAATTACTAGGAAAGCCAATATTATTTGGCAGAACATGCCTATTTTGGTTGCCTAGGGAATCCAACCTGGAGTCTGTGTTCAGCTCTTCCCCAGTAAATTCTGAAGGGCTTGGATGACTGTCAAACTCAATTCCCTAACAGGGCATCGAGATCCAATTAGCAGCTTATAATTGTCATTGACAGGGGCATTTTTCTCCCAGTGCCTTTTAAGGTATTTCAACATTTTCAATAATTGGGCCAGGTCATGGAGAAAAAAATGATTGCCCTGAATGAGATCTACTCTGCAAAGAGTTATTGAGTTTAATATATGCTGAAAGAGCAATAAACATTAGGTTTGATTTGATTAAATTGTAGATTCTCTGGAACCACGCAATATGTGCATTTGGGATTTTTGCTGGTCTTAAAAGGAAGAGCAGCCATTGCCACCTCTGAGATTATATCTGAGATCTGCCTTTTAACATAAACACTCAGGTATCAGGAAAAAACCCAGGCCAGTGTGACACACTCTGAGCAATGTTAAATCCCAGTCAAAAAGTAGACCACCTTCCCTGGGACAGTCGGAAGGATCAACTGCCCATGCATCTGAAGACCAAGTGTTTTAAGAATTGAAACCCAAGGCAGCTGCTGCCCCAGCCTCCGCAGAGTGGACAGTGGGTAGGGAAACAGAAGGTATGCAGGGAGCCCCAGGCCCTGGGGTGAGCTGCTCCCTTAGGTTTCGGGTGTATGTGGGAAAATGTCACAGCAAAAAGGAGCATAGAATGAAATAAGGTTTTTTTTTCCATTTCTGACTTTGTCCCCTTCCTCAGAGAGAGACCCTCCTAACAGCTTTTTATGTTTTCTTCCAGGTTAACAGGTACATGTCTTTATGGGCAATATAGGTCAACCACACATCAATAAGATGTATGATATAATCTCATTCAACCACATACAAAATCTCAAAAGAGAGATAAGAAGTCACTTCTTGAAGAATCCTGGCCCAGATGCTTAAGTGAAGGTCTTTAGAGGAGCATTTTCAGAACACATAGCTCAAAACTAAATGGTCAGAGAAGTGATGTCAGCCATCCTGAGCTGGTGGTTTCCATGAACAACGCAGAGTCACCATGTAGCTTTAAGAAAGGTATCCACTACTTTTGTGCCTCATTGTAGCCACCTGTGAAGTGGGCACTGACATCCCCTACATCCAAAGGGCACCACATGGTGTGCTGGATGTTACACGATGCTCCGAAGGGCTCCAGTGCATAAGCAAGCATGATTTTTGTGCACTCACCAGCTAAGGCTTGTGTACCTGCAGTCTGACAAATGTCCTATTTAAAGATGTACTCTTTATATTTCAACCCAATAATTACTTAGCATTTATAGATCATACCATGACTGCTGAGGACTTTTGAAGCATTTGGCTAAGTTGCTCCTTAAAACAGCCATGCCCTCAAGTAAAGTGGAGAACGAGAGCACCTGTAAAAAGTTACAAGCATGTCCTGCCATGAGCATGGCAGTAAGAGGGCACAGTGACAAGATGCCTATACCATGGGGCTCTCCAGCCAAGAGCTGCCCTGCTCCTGGCTTCCACCCTTGAGCTCCCTTGTCCCACCAGACACCTTTAAACGCCAGCAGGCTTGTTCCATGTGCACACACAGCAGGGGACAGTGAATGGCACATTGGGTCAGCGTCGGTACACCAACAGCTGCAGAGAAGGGGCACCTGTCCCATCTAGCCGGCCAGAGCAGTCACACTGACCATGTGAACACCTAGGTGGTGGCCCCACCACAGCCAAGTCAGTTCAGCTGGACCAAACCCAGGTTTTCTGATTCTAAAGGCAGCTTTCTCTCATCCCCCATGCTCAGGCCTGTTAATCCTGGGGAAGCCAGCATGACTATTTCCTTAAAAGCCTTTATCAAGTGAGCTCTCCTGTGGCTGAGATGCCTGGAGAGAGTCTCCCTCGTGGCTGCGCATGATCACACAGCACTCATGTTGTCAGGAGTTCAATCAGAGAGCAGGACAGGTTTTGACCAGAGGGTGTTGGAAGTAGGAAGCAGGAAGGCCTCTGGACTCCAGCAGACCCCAGGAATACCTGGGTGCCTCTCAGCCCTGCAGGTCAGTCCTCTGCCTCTGGTGGGCCTTGAGGCTGGAGGGTGCTCCTGTGGACACATGGAAGCCCCAGGGGCTTGGAATGAGGCTGAGGCCTTGCCTTGCTCTGAACTGTTTTCCAAAGCAACCTTGAATTTTGACCTTTTGGTCAGGCCTCCCCATAAAAAGAGGCTTATAATTATGTTTCCAGACTGCTTTATGTTCTATTACATAAAAGGAAAAATAAAGCTATAGAGAAAATGGCCGAGAAACAGATTTCATGGCGGGGTGGCCTGGTGGCCTTGGGGAGTACCCTGGAGGTGACGTTGATGGCAGTGTCAGACTGGCTCCTCCATTCCGTCCGGCCAGCACACTGCCTGGGGCCCGTGGCCAGGAGCTGCTTGTCAGAGGTCATGTCATTCTGGGACTTGGAGAGCTCTAGAAAACAAACACCGGGGTGACGGGTGGGAGCGCACAGCTTTGCCCAGACTGCAGCCCTCCTCCGGGACTCCCTCAACCCCACCCCAGGAGCCTCCAGGTCCCGAAAGGCCAAGTTCAGAGAGGGCCAGGGGGCAGCCCATCCAGCGAGCTCTGGGCCCAGGGGCACAGCTGCACCGTTGTCCCCAGCCACCTGGCGCTGCGCTCAGGGCACACTGCGCCAAGCACCAAGCCAAAGAGCGGGGTTCCTAAAGTGACTGTGCCCACACTCCTCCAAGAGCCGAGAGCCACTGTCGGGGCGGGAGTTAAAGGGAGACCTTCCTCCCAGGGGGCTCTGCGGGCCACATGCTGTGAGCCTGCAGTTGTCCAAACACAAAGAAGGCAGCCGACCAAAGAGGCTGGCTTATTAGAGGCCCCTTACAACTAAAAATCACTTCTTGTGACTCTCTGAAGAGAGGTGGAAGCAACATTCAGGGTGTCCTTGTAGTATTTTAGTAAACAAACCCTGAAAAGGTGACTTGAAATTTTCTGGATTTTGCAATCGAATGGTGGCCTGGAATAAAGGACACCGCACACAGAAGGGAGAGAGCCGCCTCGGTGACGACTCTGCCCTCCAAAAGGTCCTCCTTTTTCCACGAGATCTTTGTCTCTCGCTAACATGGACCTTGAAGCTATCTTTAGACCTTCAATGGAGATAGTGTCCATTGACTCATTAGTGATCTAATGTGAAAGAGATATAATAGAGGTCACATATGTCATCTCCCATTTTCTAGTAGCCACATTAACAAAAGGAAAAAGGAAAAGAGAAAGTTTATTTTAATACTATATATTTCATTTAATGTAGTATTTCCAAAATATTGTTAAAATATATAATCATATTAAAAGTATTAATGGAATTCAAAAATTTCATTTTTTAAAATTCTAAGTGTCCAGAATCTGGTGTGTATTTCACTCTTACCTGAGGCCAGCTCTATTTCAGAGCCATCTGTGACTAGCATATGCGACAGCGCAGCCCCAGAGCCCCCTGAACCCCAGTCTTCTGATCCACCCTTTGAGACGTTATTGTGTGAATCCTTATTCTGTGCTATTTCTTAGGCGTCTCCCACGTGCATGTTGCGGGTAAGCCTGCAGAGCGTATCTTCTCTAGAGGAGCCCCCGCACATGCCCCCAAAGTCCCAGGGCATTTGCCTTTCCCATGAAGATGCCTAAAGCCTCTCCCCTCCAAGAGCAGCGCTGTCCACCCTGCTCTCAAGCCTACCATCGGGAAACCATGGGGCATCTTCCCCTCACCAGCAGCTAAAAAGGTCCTAGCCCACACCAGGCCCCCAAAGTTGATGATGCACATAACTCCTCATATAACCAAATCCCGCGAGGGGTGCAGGAGGGCCAGGAAAGGGAGCCCCCCGGGAGGTGTTGTGCCCAAGCCACCTGTTAGCACTCACCCCAGAGCCTGCGCCTCCATCTGTTCATTTATGTTCACAGACCTGGGCATTGTCCATGGAAAGGAAAAGGAGCAGAAAGAAGCACAGAGAGGCCCTGAAGCAGGAATCGATGTTCTTATATCCCCCCCCTTCTAAGGGGGGCTACTGTGCTGGAATCTCCTAGAACAGCTGTGCTGATGAAAAGGGCTGGAGTAACTAGTTCCTTCCAGCGGGTTTGGCTTCATCGGGTAATGTCAGCTGCCAGAGGCTGTGACTCTGGGGCAGCTCCTGAAACTCTTTAGGCCAAGGCCCCCTCCCACCGTCCACACAGACCCCAGGCACCATGAGTGAGGCTCTGCACCCACTCCCGTGGAGAACAGGCAGTGGGCAGAGAGCTGACTGCTCGGGATGCAGGCAGCTGTGGGCGTTGGCAGCCACGACCCAGGCTGAGGTATGGAGGCTGAGTGCCATCAGAGGGCCTGGCAGAGCGACAGGGGATGTTAAACCTCCGAGCTCAATTAGCAACAAGTGGCGTGATACTCAGCTGCACCCCATCTTCTGAAGCAGAGGGGTGCAGGCTCTCACATGAGGGTCACTTTTCTGCTTATCTGAAAAGCAGCGCCCTGATTTGGGCCGCCCTCCGGGGCAGCTTAGCACTGTGGAATGGAGACCACTAGTGAAAACCTGACGGTAAGACTCTCAGGGCCAAGGTACCATGAGGATACCATCCACGTGCAGCTGCAGAACAAGGCGTGATGAGCAGAAACGAACCAAAGCCCAGTGAAAGAGAACGGATGCCCCAGGCCCCGGATCCACTGAGGACCTCTGAATGCTTGGCCTGCACAGGGCACCTCAGGAGGCCTGAGGTGGGGGCTATTCCCTAGGACTGGCATTTTAGAATCAACAGGAAAAAATATCTGAGCAGAAAGAACATTGAAAGAGACATAATTCTAAATAGTGGTAGTTCTGGGATTCTCATGTCTGCAAATTGCATGATTCCTGCTAACAGAAGAAGTAACTTGGCCGAGGAGGGAGGGCCAGTAATCCCATGCAAAGGACAGACATTGGCCCTGCCTGGCCTGAAGGGTTCCCGTTTTCAAGTCTTTGGAATCGCATCACTCCATTTCCCTTTGGTCGTTGGGAGGGGACAGATGGGCACCAGCCATGAGGTCTGCGTGAGCTTGCTGCCCCGAGGTGCTGAGCTGTGGCCGGTCTGGCAGGAGTTGGGGGAGACAGAGGCAGTCCAGCAGACCGATGGGCTCTCCTCTCCCCCATTAACCAGAGGCCTGCTCGGCAGGTGAAGAGGTGAAGGGCCGGGGCTGTGGCTGTGGCTTTTCCCAGAAGCCAGAGACAGAAGTCACCAGCTGGGCCTCTGCCAGGGGGCTTGGCTGGCCCAGGGGGAGGGGGAAGGACACAGGCGAGGCATCCACTTACTTTTCATATGGGTCGTAACAGACAGAAACAAATTTTCCACGGACTTATTAAATCCTTTAAACTGACCAAGTTCCTGTAACTAAAACAGACAGAAGGAGAGAGCATGAGAGTGGGCGTGATGGCCACCCCCAAACTCAGTGGGTGCGTGCGGGTGTGTGCACAGGCGTGCCTAGGAGGAGATGGTACTGTGCCCTCAAGCGGTAGAGGTCCTCTTCACTTCTCTCCCCTGAACTTTGAAACCAAAGTTAAAGCAAAGGGCATCATCAGACAGTTGTTAACAAAATGAGAAATACCAGAAATGATGTCTGGCATTAATTGGCTCAAAGAAGCACCCAAGTAAATTCCTGCTTCTTTCACCTCCTTCTCCTATGACCCCACCCCAAGTCCACACAGAAAGGATCCATGGGCAGAATTCATGTGACACAGGGGCTGCAGGGGTCCCAGGCCCAGGTGACTAGCCTGGAGCCAAGGAGTGAGTTCCACCTCTCAGAGCAGAAGAGTTTGGAAGGGAAATAACAGAAGAGAGATCACTTCCCTCTGCAAGTCCCGTCCACCCGCCCACCATCCATCCCGCAGACAGGACTTGAGCACATCTGTGCTGGAACAACTTTGGAGAATTTAAAATCTCCAGGAGAAAGTCAAGCAGGAGTCTGAAGGTCACACTGGGGTCTCAGATGAAATTGGGAGAAGAATGTAAATATGTTTTCTCTCTCCCAGCAGATGGTTATATCCTCCTAGGTACAGATAGAGTATGTCCCTTAATTTACAGAACAATAATGAAAAGGTCAAGACCAATTGTTCCCACGGCCCTTTATAAGTGCTAGCACAGACTTTATTTTGTTCGTTTCTCACACTAGCCCTGAGAGACAAGTATACTCATCTCCCCCTTCCAGGTGGGATCCCAGGCACCTGCCCCAAGATCACACAGCTGATTTCTTAGGACAGAAATGATCCTGGCCTTCTCTACGTCAATGCCAACGAACACTCAAAGGTACACATGCATGTTTCTGCACGCACTCCAACAGCAGTGAATCACATACCTGTGAACCCACCTGTACTCCCCTTTCCAGCCCCTGAGTCCCCCGACACAATGCAGCCTATGCAGACACCCCCCACTCAAGGGATTAGGGCCCAGTTAGGGAAGACAGCCAACAAAATGACAAGAGGAAAGAGATAGGGTGTGGGAGCCGGCAGAAGGCGAGTCTGTTGTTAATGCAGATGACCCTGTGGGAAGTCTGGGGGAAGCAGGCACGATCTAGGGCTCAGCACTTCCCAACCCCCTCTCTCGGCCTCCCTTCCTGGCCCACCAGCCACAGGTGGATGCCCTCCCTGTGGGCTCCTCGGCCCAGCCTCTTGGACGTCCTTTCTTCTTCTATTCCCGTCCCACCTCCCATCCACAGGGGGCACACAGGACAGCCACATTACCCGGCCAGGACTGCCACTGCACCGGCTTTCACTGAGAGGAGGTGGAGTCGGAGGAACCACAGAAATTTTGCTGCTGAGGAAAAATATAGGAATAAGAAACAGGTTGTGAACTGTGTAAGTATTAGTTTTATAAACATGAGACTTGTCATTATCCTATAATTCAAGTTCTCTCTCTCTTTTTTTTAACTTTTTCACTCCCAGCACTCTGGGATCTGCTCCTCCAGGCAGGGCATTGTTTGCTAGCATCCAAGCATGGGAACCAGCATCACACTGTCTGATGCCTGGTGTGGCACTCTGCCCACATGTTCTAGCATAACTGGGGCGCTCAGGACCCAGCCTTGCCACCTGGCTGCTCTGGAACCCAGACCCCACATGCATGTTCCATGTGGATTTGTGTGTCCTCCCAGTAGAAACCACACCATCAGCAGAAGTGCCAAAATGTCCTGGGTATAAAAATCCACCATGAGAGAAACTAGAAGTTTGTATTAAAGGAAAGAGGAAAAAAATGGGGGAATAAAAAAATGAAGAAGTCCTGAGATTGGAAAATCTCATCACAGGCCAAAAATTAGCTGCTTAGTGGGAGCTTTCAGTAATACTTCAATAAGATCAGTTTGCTCAGGTGTGTGAATTACAGCCAGCTTCAAGACTGCTAGATGTCTAGTTAACATCTCTCAGGCCGTCACTCAATCCCACTGACGTTCATTCCATTCATGTCCGCAAGATGTCAGGCTCTGGGCAGGATACTGGAGATGGGAATGGTCCGGTAGAGCAAATGGTTGGCTTGGAATTTCATTTGATATGCCATCAAAAATAATATTTTGTTTCTTTACAACATTTAAGGAGAAATTTAGAACCAAAGTGAAACACTGAGAAAAGCCTATGCTAGCTCCTAGAAAGCTTTTTCTAAGAATCTGGAAACATCTGTTTGAATCTTCCTCAGGCATATTATCATTAAAAAAAAAAAAAGGTTACATTCCAAGGCAGTGACATGAAAGCCAAGAGATCTAAAAGTTCTTTCAGCATGTCCTTTGTGCCCTGCCCCCGGAGGGCCTGGGACAGCCTGTCCTTTCACAACACTCACCTCAGTTTCTGATAAGATTGCAAAAGCTTTGCTCCAACTGTCTCATGTTTTCCTGGAAGAGATATCAAGAAAGGTCATTTATTAGCAAGAATACAACTTAGATGATACAACTGTAGGAAGGAGTAAATTAAAGTTACTATTTTTCTGCTATCACTTCTGGCAATAAAAAAGTAAGACATCACTTAGTGGGTAATATAAACACACTAAATAAAATTAGATTGCAGTGATGGTTGCACAACTCTATAAATTTACTAAAAATCATCATGTTATCCACTTAAAACAGGTGAATTTTATGTTTCATAAATTATATTCCACTAAAGCTATTGTTAAAAACACACACATACATGTGAAATAAGAGACCAAAATTGCTGGGAATGATGGCTTCTATTGAAAGTCGTGGTTGGATTAGATCTTCTAAATCTGGAAAATCTGAAAAATAGTTCAAGCTTCCAAGCTTCCATTTGTCCTTTGGAAACATTTCATAACGGAATGACTATATTCCTTTAAATGTTCCTTGTTATGAAGATTAACTCAATCTCTTAAAAAAATGTAATCTACTTATTTCTAGTTATAGAGGATAATAGTTTCCTAAATAATACTGCATCTGATATAATACTCTTTTTGTTTCAAGGAAAGGGGATTTTATGGCATATTAAGACCCTAAAAATAGAAGTCTCCAAGTTCACAGTTCTGTGAACACAATGTTTCCTGGCCCAACACACAGGAAGAGGTCAGCCTGCCCAGCTGGGAGGCTGGGAGGCAAACCCTCCTGCCTAGGGCAGCTACCAGAGGCTCCACGCTGCCCAACCAGCTAGAACACCCGACCTGCTGCCCTAAGGGTCTGTGGCTCCAGTCCTGTGTGTTTCGAAGGGTTTCGCCCATTCCACAGAAGGAATTCAGATTATCTCCGTATTTAGATTATTCAGATTATCTCCCTAAAACACAGGAAGAGCGACGACAGAAACAAGCACAGGGAAGCCTCTGGGAGGGGCAAGCAGCTCTGGAGTCCAGGCCCAGGCCCTCAAGCCAGGAGGCAGCTGACCGCCCAGCTGGTCCTGCCTGCGCAGCCCGGGTTCAGGGGTCTTCACCTGGGGCTGGCCTCGGGGAGTACGTGAGCTCCGACATCGGGACTCGGACTTTGAGTCTACCAGCTAGTGTGCAAACATTTTTCAGGAATTTGTGATGGTGCCCACCAGATTCTAGGTGCCCTCCCCTGCCCCATGAAGAAATACCTCCCGAAGGCAGAACAAAAAGGCCTCCCAGCGCCACACCAGCAGAACTAGCTAGGGACGATCCTGCCGCTGCAGGAGACGGGGGGAACAAACAGCCAGAGGCAAAGAGAGAGCCGCCCTAACTGCACCCCGGCCGTGGCGAAAGCCGTGGAAAACAAAGGAAAGAAAAAGAAAAATTAGTGACACTGTTTGACCACCATGTCACGGGTGGAAACACACACCCGAGGCGCAGGGAGTTCCGCGCCCCCCGAGGGCTGGCTGCAGGCCCTCCCGCCACCCACCTCCCTCGGCCCGCATCGCAGCCACCCGCAGGTACCGTCCCGCAGGGCGATGCTATCGCTCAGCTGCCTGAAGCCCTCAGGGAGGCCCGCCTGCCTTCCCCTGGAGCCCACGCCCCACGTGTGCCCCTGCACCCACCTGCCCCGCGGGCCCCCTTCTCCCGCAGTTTTTCCACGCTCTGCAGGCCGGGCCCTTTCTGCTCCGCAACACCCAATAGCTTGTTGCCCTACTTAACCCTGAGCGTTGTCCACTCACTCACACTCACCCCAGCTCCCCTCCTGGGGCTAACTACCTGGCATTTGTACCCCGATCCGCAGCTCCATCCCAGCCTTCAGCGTAGACCCGTCACCTTTCTGAACACCTTACCTGCCCCTTTTGAGTGGAAGGCCTGGCCCACCAGCAGCTCTCGGCCGCCCCCTGCTGGCCGCCCTAGGGGAGCAAACGCTTTTTGCAAAGTCCAAATGGTCAGTATTCTAGGTTCTGGACCTTCTCTGTCCCGAGTGAACAGTAGAGTGGGTGGGTGTGTCTGCGCTCCGATAAAACTTGAAGGACATGGAAATATGAATTTCACATTTTTTAATGTGTCACAAATATTATTCTTTTGACTTTTTGGACCATCTGAAATTGTAAAATCCATTCTTAACTCACAGGACATATAAAAACAGGCAGAGGAACAGATTTGCCCCATGGGTCCCCGCTTGCCCCACGTCCTGGCTACCCCGAGTGTGGGCAGTGGCTCTGAACTGCAGCACCAGCCGAGCTTGTCAGCTGTGCAGTCTCAGGCCACCCAGTTCTGCCAAACAGCAAGCTGCTCCCTCAAGTTTGAGAAACACGGCCCTGTGGCTCTGTCCAGCCAGCTCTTTATGTCCATTTTCTTCTTCTCTTCTATTCCTCAGTTGTTTCTTACCAGAGGCTCCCTTAAAAAGCACTAAATATGTACTTTTTATTAACATTTTTAAAAATTTCATGCTCTGCTACCCCAACACTTCTTTCTGGGGTGACGTGGTTCTCGTGGAAGAAGACGCAGGGCAGACACCCAGGCCCAGCCCAGTGCAACTCGGCCAACCGGCCAGTCCTGTTGTCACAGGTGCTTGCGGGGCCTCCTGTCCAGACCCGTGGGATCTGTGCAGATTAGGTTCTTCCAAGATGTGATTGTTAACTGCCCCTCCTACACTGTACTGCCCGCAGCAGCCCTCTGTCAGAAAGTCACGTACACCCACCCAGCCATGTGGGATGCAGCTGTGGAGCTAACAGACAGAGCCATTAAGAAGGGTGGCCTGGCCCACAGCCACCTATCTGCTCATGCCCAAGGCACAGGGGCAGCATCCTATCTAGGAAACCACACCCCAGAGTTTCTGGTGTGACCAAAAGCGAAGTACAGATAGTATCACCCACCCAGAGCCTCTCGGGAACTATGCAAATGTGCCCCTTCCTCATGACGTTTTTACCCATCTTTAGGAGTTAGACATAATATATAGATTTTGCTAGAACAATGCATTTTGCTGCATCTTCCAGAGAAATCATCACAATAAACACATAAGTCTAGGATATGAACTCTACCCACTTTGGTGTGGTTCCCTTGCACAGTGCCCAACCTGCACAGCTGTACGTGATGGTCTGAGGGTCGGCCCACACTGGAGCTTCAGGACCCTCCAAATGCTAACGAAAGGTGAATAAAACCACCTTTTTGGTAGAAGGGAGATGCTGGACAATGACAGAGTATTTTAGGATGTTTTTCTTCAACAGGAAAGAAAAGGTTCCTAGAACATAGATCTTTAAACCAATCTTTGGCTCACATACGCAAAATGGAAACTCACAAATTTTGACTTGAAAATCTCTCAGCATGTAAAGAAGCATGATATTCTATATAAATGGTTTTAGAGCAGCATTCCAGTGTTATTTTTAAGTCTATTTTAAGTCCTTAGAGAAGTTTTGGGCTTAGAGATGCACCAGGGCTAATCAACTATCCCAGGATGAAAGAAGATAAAGGACACAGTTATGAATCAGCAATTAATGTCTTCCAGGAGAACAAACATTAATAACAGTAGATTTATAATCCTGTTGGCAGAAAGTACCTCTTATCCAGGGCCTTTCTGCCACTAGGCATTACTCTTCTGCCGAGCTGCAACAGAAAAATAATTTGTCCCTTTAATTAAGCTCCCTATATTCTATCAGCAGAAAGTTCCACGTTAACATGGATGGGTTCCATGTTAATAAGCATCAAGAGTTAGGGGGTAACTCTGCCACAAAGATATACCTAAGGTTGATAGTAACTGGCCCAGGTTCACTGAGGACCTGGGAACAACAGAGTACAAATTACTTTTCATCATCCTTTGATCTTTCTCTAAAAGTTGAACATGGATTTTACAAGTTCTCTCCCCTATTTTGGGTATTAATCCCTTATTAGACATGTGATTTGCAAATATTTTTCCCCACTCCGTACATTGCCTTTTTACTCTGTTGATAGTACCCTTTGATGCACAAAAGGTTTTCATTTTGATGAAGTCCAATTTGTCTGTTTTTTTCTTTCACTGCCTGTGCCTTTGGTGTCATAGCTAAGAAATCATTGTCAAAGCCAATGTCATCTTTGCCCTATGTTTTCTTCTATGAGCTTTATAGTTTAAGGTCTTTTTAGGTCTGTGATCCATTTTGAGTTAATTTTGTATATGGTGTTTGGCAGGGGTCCAACTTTATTCTTTTACATGTAGATATCTAGTTTTCCTAGCACCATTTACTGAAAATACTTTCCTTTCCCCACTGATACAGGCACCCTTGCCAAAAATCATTTGACGATATATGCAGGAGTTTTTTCTGGGCTCTCAATTCTATTCCATTGGTCTATTCCAGTGCCATGCTGTTTGGATTACTGTAGCTTTGTAGTAAGTTTTTAAATCAGGAAGTATGAGTCCTCTCACTTTCTTGTTTTTCAAAAAACAAACAAAACCACCCAATTTAATAATGGGCAAAGGACTTGAACAGATGTTTCTCCAAAGAAAATAGGCAAATGGCCAATAAGCACATGAAAAGATGTTAGGGAAATGCAAATCAAAATCACAATGATGCAGCAACTATGGAAAACAGTATGGCAGTTCCCCTAAAATTAAAAGTAGAACTACTGTGTGATCCAGCAATCCCACTTCTAAGTATATATCCAAAAGAAATAAATTCATTATCCTGAAGAAACACCTGGACTCTCATGTTTATTGCAGAACTCACAGTAGCCAAGACATGGAAACAACCTAAGTGTCCACTGATGGATGAATGGCTAGAGAAAATGTGATGTATACACACACACACAAGCACACACACACTGGAGTATTATTTGGCCATAAAAAAGAAGGAAATCCTGCCATTTACAGCACCATGAATGAACCTGGAGGATCATAATGCTAAGTGAATAAATCAGACTGAGAAAGATAAATACTGTATGATCTCACTTACATGTGAAATATAAAAACAATGAACTCATAGAAACAGAGAGTAGAATGGTGGTTACCAGGGGCTGGGGGAAGGAGGAATGGAGCATTGTTGTTTAATGGGA